GAGTCGGAGACGACTGAACGAATGAACAACAACATTATAATATAATACATAATATATGTAAGATATCCAGGTGCATGAGGCATGATGTCATGGGTGTATTGGAGAGCTTAAATTGGTGGTCATGGATAACTCCATCCCCATTGAAGTCAAACATGACCCCCCCCCCCCATTAGAGATAGTAACTTATAGTTTTGCTAAGGACAAGGACACCAGACTGGATAATAAGGGTTAAGCCTTGGTCATTTTGCCAAGACACTAACAACAACAATGACCCTTCCCATGTTAGTGTGTACATTTAATCAAGGTTTTATGCCCTAGATTTCATATATAGCAGAAGGTAGCACATTTGTTACTGAGAAACCATTCCCTTTACACTTATGTGCTCTCTTGAACTTCTATGGGACTCTAGTGGGAGGGATAGGTGGGTATGTTTTCTATGTCATGATTTCTATATTCCTTCCTGTGTATCTGACCTTTTCATGACCCTTTTGTCCAATTCCCCTTTATTGAAAAATGTATAAAAATACAGGGCAGCCACCCCTGCGTTACCCGGGAAAGGAGGAAAGCTTCAGTTGAAAAGACCCTTATCAAAAGCACGATTGCATGGACAATAGAAGGGGGTCGTGACCTTTGGGCTCGGAGTTGGTCCCCCAAAAGGAAATGACCATTTAGCAATTTTGATCATATCTCAATAGGATGGAGGGGGCCTTCGGAAAGCCGCACCTCGTCCTAATCTGTCACACATTCAACTTTTCTTTCACTAAAGACTTCAGCTAAAGTTCCCCATTGTTCCCATATATCCGCACTGGAAAAATCCGGATCTTGGATCTTTATTGCAGCCACTCAATGACAATTGGAATGGCTGGCTCACAGGCCCCAGGACTTGCTGGCTGCATGGACATTTCCTACCTCCATAATCCTCTCAAGAATCCATTGTTTCCCTCTCGTCCCGCCTCCCTCTCTCCTGATTCGTCAGGACGCCAAGGCGGCAGAAGCCCAGCGATTGGCCCAGGCACTCAGGAGGTGGCCAAGCCTCCTCCCAGCTGTAGAGCGCCAGCCAATCATCATCGAGCCGGCAGAGGGGTGGGGAATTATTTATTTACAGCTTTTATATTCCGCCCTTCTCCTCACCCCGCAGGGGACTCAGGGTGGATTACAGTGTACACATATATGGCAAAAATTCAATGCCAATTTTAACATACAACATATACAGACATACACAGAGGCTATTTAACTTTTTCTGGCCACCAGGGGAGCTGTCGCTTTAATCGTCCATCTGCGACACTGATGAAGCACTTCCGCATTCCCCGCATGCTTCCCCGTTGGAATGCTTTGCTGGAGTCTTCTTTATGGCCTCATAAATCAGTTAATTTGGCCTCCCCACACTTTAAGGTGGTACCTTATTTTCCTACTTGACAGATGCAACTGTCTTTCGGGTTGCAAAGGTCTACAACAGGCTACACACAATTAGTTGGAAACCCACCAATTGTGTGTAGGAATGGGAGGTTCAAACCTGGCAACTCTGTTTCTGTATTAAAAAGGCTTATATTTGTACACATGTTATGCTCAGCTTGGCGAAATATTGCTGCTTTGCATCCTTTTCAGCTGAATCGCAATAAAATCATCTCGGTGGCGCTTCCTTCAACTTTGGTGAGATTTCTCTTGGGAACTTAGGAAAAACCGTTTAAATTGGGCTTCTCTTTGCTCACCACTGTAGCGAGCCCTCTTTGGTGGGTCCGCAGGGTCTCTCCTTCAGGGCCAGACCCTTTTAAATTCCTCCATGATTTCACCATGATGTAGTTTTCAAAGTATGTATGTATGTTTAAAATGCAGTAGCTATGTGCCGAGTGTAATGTATTCCTGTGTGGAAAGAGTTAACTGAACCATGGAGGGAACAGCATTCCTAGAGAGATCATAAATCAAGTGTATAGAACAAATGGACACAGCGTCGTACATCACTCTGGAATGCAGGAGGTGTGGACTAGTACTGATAGCAGTTAGGGGGTTCGCAATGTTACAGTAAAGAACGCAATGGGACAGTAAAGAAGCAAGTTTGTGATGCGCTGAGTATTAAGTAGCTTCTAATGTATATAGCTGTAAAATAAAGTAGTTTATAGCCTAAGGTGGCTGTGATTGATCTCTTCCTGCCTTGCTGTGCTGCCGATGACACTGACATTCAACACAAACAGGGAGGCAGGCCGGCCCTGCCCATTCATGGCTCAGCAGAATATAATCTGCATGGAATCTGTTCCACCAGCTGCCTCCGAGACAGCTATTACACTACCCAACACCATTTTTGTTCCTGAGTGATCAATACCATTTCCTAATTGGGTCTGTCATAAAAACATGGAGACTCCAGTGGTGCGGCTGGTTAAACCGCTGAGCTGCTGAACTTGCTGACCGAAAGGTCACAAGTTTGAATCTGTGGAGCAGGGTGAGCTCCCACTGTTAGCCCCAGCTTCTGCCAACCTAGCACTTTGAAAACATGCAAATGTGAGTAGATTAATAGGTACCGCTCTGGCGGGAAGGTAACACCGCTCCATACAGTCATGCCAGTGGACACATGACCTTGGAGGAGTCTATGGACAACGGCGGCTCTTCAGCTTAGAGATGGAAGTGAGCACCAGAGTCCTGGGGTCAGACTTGACTCGACTTAATGTCAGAGGAAGACCTTTACCTAAAAACATGGGGAAAGCTTATTAGACTGCCAAAACTTTCTTTCTGCGGGAGGGACATCATCTTGCAGCATATTTTGCTATAGTTTTTTCTCCCACCCTGGACATCATTCCACAGGTATATAAACCCAATTTTCCTAGTTTGCAACAGACCACAATCTCTGAGGATGCCTGCCATAGATGTGGGCGAAATGTCAGGAGAGAGTGCTTCTGGAGCATGGCCAGACAACCCAGAAAAGTCACAGCAACCCAATATCTCAACAAATATAATTGAATTGGTTGAGATATTCCAGCGCCATGTCCCCATACCTTTCTGGACGCTGTGAGACCATGTCCCAGGACTCGTGGCTTCGTGTGAGGAATCACCTTAAGATACCAGGATTTTAAATCCCACTTCCTGGCTCACAGGAGGCATTCCTTCATTGGGGCTGAAAACCACAAAGTGGGGCATGCTTTGTGTATTTTCTCCCCAGCCCTCTGCAGAAATGCAGTGCTGGAAGAGCCCCACCTGGTGGTAGCTTCACTCATTGCGACTCCCCTCATTCCAAGCAGCCCAAGCCCTTGCCTTCCCCGCATTCTTCTTTAGGGACAAGCAGAGGCATTTCCCCTTCTTGGTGGAAGTTTCCAGAGGTGTCCTTTGAGCACAAATGGAGTGAGAAACAGTCCATGTGAGAAAGATCTTGGGAGTCTTCGTGGACAACAAGCGGAACGTGAGCCAAGAGTGTGATGCAGCAGCTCAAAAAGCCAATGGGATTCTGGGCTGCTTCCAAAGGAGGAGAAGGAAGAAGTCCTGGGGCCTCTCTCTCTCTCTCTCTTCTGCTTTGGTCAGGCCTGGAATCCCACTGTGTCCCATTCTGGGTGGAGGAGTCGACTGGACCTTCTGTGAACTCAGGGCTATCAATTCCCAGGCACAAGATAATGAGGGATCCGGCCTTGGAAGTAATGAGGATCTGTGTAGGGTGGACCGTTGGCAATTAAGGTCATGCCGAAGCACCTGGCTTGCAAACAAGCGGGAACTTCTGGGGCAACGTAATGATTTCATGCTAGCAAAGCATATTTAATGATCTGTTTGAAGGCAACTCTTTGTCAGAGTAACTTCGCTCACACCCTGCGAACTTCCTTGAAATCTCCTTGGCTTTCAGGGGAAAGCCGTCAGCTCTTTGGAACTTTGCTTTTGGATTTTCGTTCCTGGGACTTTGTCACGATGCCATGGATTCTGGTTTGACCAATGCTGGTGGATTATATTCATGTTATTTGCTTTTGGGCCTTGGAAGCTTTGCCTTGCGTTTAAGTCATGTTCTGACTTTTGAACTTCAGCAACCATATCTCTAATGTTTTGGTTTTACCTTTCTTCAAGAAACTACAAAACCTACAGCCCTGGTGTGTGGTGTTGTTCTGAGCAAGGGGAATCTATCCTGAGTTGTGATACAGGTCAAGATTGGGGCTCCACAGTCAGGGGCGGCGCAATCCATTACGCAAAGCAAGCATTCGCAAAGTAAGCATTGCCCAGGGGTGCTCTTGAGGCGCTCTTGGGGGAAAACAGACCTTGACATATGCGAGTTGTAGTTCCTGGGATGTATAGTTCACCTACAATCAAAGAGCATTCAGAACTCCACCAATGATGGAATTGAATCAAATATGGCACACAAAACTCCCACGATGAACAGAAAATATGTATCAGTGATTGGTTGGGGGGGGGGGGGCAAAATACTGTTTGCTTACCGTTGAAAATTACCTAGGGCCGCCTCTGTCCAGTCACCTATGGACCTACCACCAGGACACCGCCCTTGGAGGACAATCTTACTCGGACAACGAGGGATCGCCTAAGTGAAGTAAGTAAGGTTCTTAACCTGTGTGTTGCGGCCCACTAGTGGGCCGCGAGGATGAAAATGTAGTCCATGAGCTTCTTTTCTCTTTATTTTATTTTACTTCCACTCCTTTCACGCCGCCTGCAGCTTCTTCCCTGTCGCCGACTATGGCGTATGTTCTGTATCAGAAACTAGAGCTGATGTGGTCTATCCTGTGCATTTTTCTGAATCAGCACCCCAAACCAAATCTAAAGTCCCCTTTCGGGATGAAAAGAGCAGAATATAAATGTTGTAAATAAATAAGTAAAAATAAAATTGACCAAAAACTGATTTGTAACCCTTTTGGTACTAATGTTGGTCAAAAAAACGTTGGGAACCACTGCCTTAAAGGGACAACAGCGTGGCTCTGGGATGCTGCACTCCAGTGTGGCTCTGGGGAAACTACGCAAGGGCCCTTGCGGCACAGCTGGGCGCAACATTCCCGTGACGGCATCCAGAGGAGCAACCAAGACCAGGCTTACAAAGGAAATCAAATCTTTAATAGCAGCGTCCGGGAGGGAAGCAGTCCACACTTGTTGGAGCACACATCAAAACAGGGGGAGGGGAGGGGGGGAGGGAGGAGGGTGCGGAAGGGAAACCCCCGGCGCCTGCAGCTGCTCCAAACAATCATTCCAGCCAGAAGGGCCTCCCGTTCCGCTTGGGGCGCTTTGGAAACCTTCACCTTGATCCCAGGTCACCTCTCGCCCAAAACGTTGGCCTGCGTCCGGTCCCAGCAGTACAGGTGCCAATATTTTATTATTCTTATTCTTATTATTAAATAAAAGTTACCCTATGGAAATCAGCTTCTATATTGTGTTAATTTCTCTCTTTAAAAAAATACAACCCTCACACTCGTCTTCCATCCATCTTCTCAATGCGTCTCTCTCGGGAGGCTTTCCTGGAGCGGCGGCATCATTGCTGTGAGGGAAACAGGAGGGCAAAGACCATCATTCCAAAGGAGAACGCATTTCTAACCCTTATTTAAACCAACACACACACATATATATCTCAACAATATTTCTAACCCTTATTTAAACCAACACACACATATATATCTATATAAATAAAAATGCAATGTTCGTTAGTGGGATGAACATAACTCAAAAACCACTGGACGAATTGACACCAAATTTGGACACATTAAACGTATCAGGCCAACAAGTGACCATCAGTCACAAAAACACTGAAAAACACAATAGAAGAGACTTAAAAAGCCAAAAAATTTAAAAAAAATACAACACATTATTATTATTATTATTATTATTATTATTATTATTATTATTATTTAGAACTTTTATATACCGGTCTTCTCACCTCCGACGAGGGACTCAGGCTGGTTTACAACAGAGGAGTTCATACATAATAGTTTTAAAAAATCACATCCTATAAAACTCTAATATAAAACATTAAAATACAATCATATAATTGCATAAGACCAAGGTGTGCGCAAAACCACATATATACACAAATATATATGTATATACATACACACACACACACACATATATATATACACACACAAAACACATATACAGACTGGACCACAGCAACACGTGGCAGGGGACAGCTAGTATATTATATTATTAGCATAGCATTATTATTATTATTATTATTATTATTATTATTATTATTATTATTATTATATATTGCTATATTGCACTATACCACTATACTGCAGTATTCTTACTAACATTACATATAATATATAAAGGTAAAGGTAGTCCCCTGACATTAAGTCCAGTCATGTCTGACTCTGGGACTCTGGTGCTCATCTCCATTTCTAAGCCGAAGAGCCAGCGTTGTCCGTAGACACCTCCAAGGTCATGTGGCCGGCATGGCTGCATGGAGCACAGTTACCTTCCCGCCGGAGTGGGACCTATTGATCTACTCACATTTGCATGTTTTCGAACTGCTAGGTTGGCAGAAGCTAGGGCTGACAGCGGAAGCTCACGCTGCTCCCCGGAATCGAATCTGCGACCTTTCGATCAACAAGCTCAGCAGCTCAGTGCTTTAACCCACTGCGCCACTGGGGACTCCTACATACATACATACATACATACATACACACACACACACACACACACACACATATATATATACTAGTGGCGGGTACAGCTAGTATATATATATTAGCTGTACCCGCCATGCGTTGCTGTGGCCAACCTTCCCTCCTTCTTTCCTTCCTTTCCTCTATTTCTTTCCCTTCCTATTTCTCTTCTTCTTTCTTTCTTTCATCTCTACCTGTTTCTTTTCCCCCTTTCTTTGCTCTTCGGTTACATCCTTCCTTCCTTCCCTGTCTTTCGTTCCTTCCTTTCTTCTTTCCCTCCCTCCTTCTCTCCTTCCTTCCCCTCTTCATTCCTTCCCATCATTTTCCTTTTCCAAAAAGGTTAAGAATTTTTGCAAAAGAAATGTCTCCACACCCCTCTTAAGGTGGTAACATTTGAGCAAAAAAAAAAATAAAATGCTGGCATTTCTGATACAGGTGGGAGAGGATAACGTAGTCCTCCCTTCGAGGTTCCCCAGCGAGGCAAATGAAGCTCCGACCCTTGGACTCACCTTGGCCTTGTTCTGGACTGGGATGTACAGCTTGAACTCGGCCGGCAGCTCGTCCTCAGAGTAGAGTCTGTCAGAGAAGTAAATTCTGCGGATGCGACAGTTCGCGTGGATCTGGGATAGAGGGGGGAAAGCACGCATGTTGGAAGAGCCACTGGGAATCATCACTCCTTCCCATCCCACCCATCAAGCTATTCAATCCCTCCCGACCTGCAGTGCTCCCTTTGAAGGTCCCACAGCCGCCCTCCCCTCCTCACCTGGACCCGCAGCGTCTCAATGTAGTTGGTCCCGTAGGCCCGGCGTGTGAAGTCCGACAGGTTGAACTGAATCTGGTTCCAGCCGTCGTCCAGGCGCATGGGCATGGTGCAGATGAAGGGCTTGACGCGCGTGGTGCTCTGGTAGTTGCTGGCGCGGAAGCGCCGCCGGACGTTTTTGTCATCCAGCACCTGCAGTGGAAGCGAGCCATCAAGACGAGATGCGATCCCGTAAGTAGGCTGGGCCCAAACTGTATCAAAGTACGCCCAAAAGATAGCCACCCAGCCCCTGTTTAAAGCCTCCACCCCAATCCGAGGCAGCTCTTCTTACGGTGAGGTGTCTTGTGTCCAAATTGGGTGTCAATTCGCCCAGTGGTTTTTTAGTTCTGGTAATCCCACAAATGAACATTACATTTCTATTTATATAAATGTAATATTACTAATCATATTACAATATAATGGTATAGTACAATATAGTAATATTTAATACTGATATTGTACTATGCTAATAATATACTATACTAGCTGTCCCCTGCCAGGTGTTGCTGTGGCCCAGTCTGTTGATCTGGAAAATAAGGTAATGAGAAAGTGTTGGTTTCTAATATATGCAATTTCTTAATACTTGTGGGTAAATAGTATTTCTTGCTATTTCTTTGTCAGTGACTACAGCTCCCAAATGTCAAGGTCTATTTTCCCCCAAACTTCATCTGTGTTCATATTTGGGCAGATTGAGTGCTTGTGCCAAGTTTGGTCCAGATCCATCATTGTTTGAGCCCACAGTGCTCTCTGGATGTAGGTGAACTACAACTCCCAAACTCAAGGTCAATGCCCACCAAACCCTTCCAGTATTTTCTGTTGGTCATGAGGGTTCTATATGGGAAGTTTGGCCCAATTCCATCACTGGAGGAGTTCAGAATGCTCTTTGATTGTAGGTGAACTATAAATCCCAGCAACTACAACTCCCAAATGGCAAAATCAGTTCCTCCCTCCCCAACCCCTCCAATATTCAAATTTGTTTTGAGTATTTGTGCCAAATTTGGTCCAGTGAATGAAAATACATTCTCCATATCAGATATTGACATTACAATTCATAACAGGATCAAAATTACAATTGTGAAGTACTAACATGAGGTACACATGGTCACCTGTGCTACGCTAATAATATAATATAACATAACATAATATAATGTAATATAATATAATATAATATAATATAATAGATTTATAATATTATAATGTAATGCAATATAATAATAATATGATATTATAATCCTATATTTATATTACATGTCATATTACTAATATTACAATATAACGGTATAGTACAATATAGTGATATTTAATACTGATATTGTACTATGCTAATGACATAATATATTGTATGTACCGTATATACTCGAGTATAAGCCGACCCGAATATAAGCCGAGGCACCTAATTTTACCACAAAAAACTGGGAAAATGTATTGACTCGAGTATAAGCCGAGGGCGAGAAATGCAGCGCCTACTGGTAAGTTTCAAAATAGAAATAGATACCAATAAAATTACATTAATTGAGGCATCAGTAAATATTCAAAAATATTTACGTATCATTGTAATTTAAGATAAAGCTGTCCCACTCCAATTAAACCATCATTCTAACCTCCTTTAATGTAAATGTGCACACATATCCTTTCAATAATAATAAAGGGAGTAAAATAATAAATGTAATAATAACAATAATAGAGTAAAATAATAAATGTTATAATAATGATAAATAGAGTAAAATAATAAATGCAATAAAAATAATACTCATAACAGAGTAAAATAATAAATAACATTGACTCGAGTATAAGCCGAGGGAAGATTTTTCAGTCTAACAAAGGGGCTGAAAAGCTAGGCTTATACTAGAATATATCTATATATATATAAATATTCATGTCGTAATGTGTGGCTTAAAAACAAAAGAACCGCTACTGCGATATAATACATAAATATTATATTATATATATTACTGTTATATCTATTACTATATAATATGTTACTACTATATGTTACTATATTAAATAGACTCCTAGAATAGAGTTAGAAGGGACTCTACCAGACAGAAGAGAAGTAGGGAGGGAAGGAGGGAAGGAAGGAGAGAAGGAAGGAAAGAAAGAGGTACCGAATAGGGCTGGTTGATCAAGAAAAAATTTGGTTCTAAAATCGATTTGTAATTGGGGTGTTTTTTTGTTTCGATATTTAAAATAATTACAAAATTTCCCCCCTACAATCCGTTAATATTTACGAAAAATTCGTAAATATTAACGAATCGATTCGTTAAGATGGCGGACCCCCGCGCACATGCGCAAAACATTTCCGAAGCTTACGTTGTTGCCGCGGGGTCGATTCGTTAAGGGGGCTCCCTCAACTTGCTTCTAAAAGGGGGATGGACTGGATGACCTTTGGGGGTCCCCACTGGGAGTTGAACTCCAAAGCCCTTAGAGGAGGAGGAGGAAGAGGAGGAGGAGGAGGAGTTTGGGAGTCCTTGGTGAAGATCAGAGGATGCTTGACATGGGAGGGAGGAGGGAAAGGGGAGAAGGAGGGAGGGAGGCAAGGAGGAGGGTGGCCTTGGCTGCAGGGGAGCCTGCACCATGGAAGAAGGGGGCATGATCCAAGGGAGAAGATGCTCGGAGGAGGATGGATGCGTGGATGCGTGGATGGAGGGAGGATGGAGGCAGGCAGGCAGGCAGGCAAGCGGGTGTTTCCCTCCTTCCCGCTCTCACCGGTCTCCTGCTCCCCGAGGAAGGCATCCTCCTCCTTGCGGGAGCGGAGGCAGCTCTCCGAGCCCCCTCCTCCTCCTCCTCCTGCCGCCGCCGCCTCCTCCTCCTCGGGCAGCCGGGGAAAGCTGGTGATGCTCATGTAATCCACGGGCGAGTAGGCGCCCAGGCTGCTCTGCTGGCTCGCCTCCTTCTCGGCCGCCGCAGCCGCGGCTCCAGCAGTCGCTGCGCTGCTCGCCATCCTTCTGCCGGGAAGGGAAAGCCAAGCCAAGCAAGCAAGCAAGGAGGCAAAGCGCGCTCGCGGGGGAGGGGCGGGGCAAAGAGAAAGGGGCGCCGGAGCGCCGGATTGGCTCCCAGGCACCAGCAGCATCCTCCATCCAATTTCCGAAACGGGCGGAAACTCGTTAAAAGGATGGGGGATGCCGCTTCGTTATTTTTAAACCCTTCCGGGTTTAAAAAAGTGTTTTGTTATCGTTTCGTAAATGCAAAAAATAACGAATGTTTAACGAATTACGAAATTAACGAACGAAACCGCACAGGCCTAGTACCGAAGGAAGGAAGGAAGAAGATAAAGTAGAAATGAAAGGAAAGGCAGGAAAGAGGTAAAGAAGGAAGGAGAAAAGGAAATAAAAAGTGAAAGAAGGAAGGAAACAGGGAGGGAAGAAAGGAGACAAAGGAAGAAGTAGAGAAAAGGGGAGGGAAGGAAGGAGAGAAGGAAGGATGAAACCAAAGAGCGAAAGAAGGAATGAAAGAAAGAGGTAGATAAGGAAGAAAGGAGAGAAAGGGGAAGGGGAAGAAAAAGGAAGGAAGGAATAGGTAGGTACCTCTCTTTCATAATAGTCCAGATATCTACCTCTACTTCAAAAATTCCTAGTATAGGCCACAGCAACGCATGGCAGGGTAGTACAGTATATATATCTTGTGGGCCACTCTGAGTCCCCTTCGGGGTGAGAAGGGCGCCATAGAAATAAAATAAACAAACTGCATTAAGGTATCACAACATTAGGAAGGTTGAGAAACACTGATCTGGACACACTATCCCTTTTAGTGCAGCCAAGACACAAGGCAAGTGGTGTCAGTCTGGGAAGGGCCTGGCCAATGTTCTGGAGGAGTATGAATGCTAAGGCACAATGACAACCACTTCTCCCCACAACCTTGCAGAGTAGTCCCCCCCCCCCGGGCACGCACCTGTACTTCAAAAGTAAAGTATTTCTTTAAGTTCTTGATGATCATCACCAGGAAGGGCAGCTTGATTCCCAATGTCTTCTTCGGATCAGCAGGACACGTGATGTATGTGGTACTGGGGGAGGAAAGAGACAGACACGTGCAATAAAGGCAGTCCCAAAGTGATGAACAAGAGAGGTTCTCTTAAGTTGAAATCGTACGTTTAGTCAAAATAGGAGCATTTTGTAAGTGTAACTCAAGCCAAATATATACCTGTATTTCCTCAAATCTAATGCGCCATTGAATCTTAACGCGCACCTCAATTTTCAAAATCCTGAAACCCAAAAAAGTATTTGCTGGACATGTAAAGAAATAGTGAAATATTGGTCTATGGTACATGAAGAAGCACAAAAAAATCCTAAAAAGAGTATTTAAGACGAAACCTGAATATTATCTATTAGGTTTTACAGACTTAGAATTGCTACCAGACGAAAATGAAGACAAATTATTTACCTATATTACGACGGCGGCGAGAATATCTTTGGCAAAATTTTGGAAGAAGGACAGTATCCCTACCATTGAAGAATGGTTAGGGAAAATTAGAGAAATAAGGGAAATGGATGAACTAACTTTTTTTTGGAAAAAAATACCGGGAATCCGATAAAGAGGATGGATTGGACCCTCTATGACAATTACGAGAAAGAAAGAAGTAAATAAGAGGAACATTTTAAAGTGGAAGTAATGGTAATATTGTTAATTTTTGGAGACACAACACCTGATGAGGAGATGGAAGTCAACTCTTTTTAAATCTTTTCTTTTCTTTTTTTCCCTCTTTTTTAATTTTTATTTTTCTCATTTATACTTTTTATTTTTTTATGGCTTTTTGGGTTTTTTTGTGGACTTTTGGAATTTTAGGGGGGGGGGGAGGTACTTTCTATATTTTCCTACTGTTCTGTTTTCTTACAATTATTCACCCTCTTTCGCTGTATTTTCAAACACTTTAATAAAAATTATTTTTTTAAAAAAGTATTTACTGCTAAATATAATATGGCCATAACAGTTGCTGCCTGCCGAGAGTGGATTTCCCTTCTGATGCTCAGATTCCTCACACTCCCTGTTAGCTCAGCCCCGTTTTTAACTAGGAGTTGTATGTAAGTCAGGTGTTTGTAACTCGTGGACAGCCCGTACTACATTCAGGCCAGGAAGTGCGTACCTGACATTGGTTCCTTCAATCTCCAGCACCAGCGACTGAATATCATTATCTGTGATTCTCTTGATGTGTCCATTGCGCACCTGGAAACATACAGGAGAGAAAAGAATAACACATCCCATCATTCCTTAACTCCAGAGGGTTACCAAACACTCCTGCCCAAAGAATGATGGGTTGGTTGCCCTCTTTCTCCCCTCTTTGGAATAACGTTATCATTCCCACTGACTTAAGAAAGCTCAGAACAGTTTTAGTAGTAATAATGATAGTAATAATAACTATAATATAATAATAATGATAATAGTATGATAGTAATGATAATACTATGAATGACCGTAATAAAAATGACAGTAATAATAACTATTTTATAGTAATGATGATAATAGTTTTTGGTTTTTTTTTTTTTGTTGTGTCAGGAGTGATTCCTGGTGTGAGAAAATTGGCCGTCTGCAAGGACGTTGCCCAGGGGATGCCTGGATGATTTGATGTTTTATCATCCTTCTGGGAGGCTTCTCTCATGTCCCCATATGAGGAGCTGGAGCTAATAGAGGGAGCTCATCCGCCTCTCCCCGGATTCGAACCTGCGACCTGTCGGTCTTCAGTCCTGCTGGCACAGGGGTTTAACCCACTGCGCCACCGGGGCTCCATAATATAATAATATATAATACTAATATTGTCCTATAGTAATATAATTTAAAAAAATTACATATAATATTAGCAATAATATTGCAGTAGAGTAAAGTACAATATAATAATATATAATACTAATATTGTGCTATATTAATATAATAAAAATAATATATAATTATATATATTAGCAATAATATTGCAGTATAGTAGTATAGTACAATATAATATCTAATACTAATATTGTGCTATACTAATATAGATTATATATTATATATTATATTACCAATAATATTGCAGTATAGTACAATATAATATATATAATACCAATATTGTTCTATACTAATATTATAATATAATTATATATAATATTAGCAATAATATTGCAGTATAGTATAGTACAATATAATAATATATAATACTAATATTGTGCTATACTAATAACATAATAAGTATAACATATAATTATATATTGTATTACCAATAATATTGCAGTATAGTACAATATAATAATATATAACACTAATATTGTGCTAGAATAATAATAATATTGCAGTATAGTAGTATAGTACAATATAATATCTAGTACTAATATTGTGCTATACTAATAATATAATAAATATAATAATTATATATTACCAATAATATTGCAGTATAATATAGTACAATATAATAATATATAATACTATTATTGTGCTATACTAATAATAAATATATAATTATATATCATACTACCAATAATATTGCAGTATAGTAGTATAGTACAATATAATAATATATAATACTAATATTGTACTACACTAATATTAATAAATATAATAATTATATATATATTACCAATAATATTGCAGTATAGTACAATATAATAATATATACTAATATTGTTCTATACTAATAATATAATAATAAATATAATATGTAATAATATTATAATATATTAATTATAATACTAATATTGTGCTATACTAATAATATAATAAACATAATATATAATTATATATAATATTACTAATGATATTGCAGTATAGCATAGTACAGTATAATATATAATATATAATACTAATATTGTGCTATACTAATAATATAATAATATATAATTATATATATATATTACCAATAATATTGCAGTATAATACAATATAAAATATATAATACTAATATTGTTCTATACTAATATAATAAATATAATTATATGTTGTTGTTGTTCATTCGTTCAGTCGTCTCCGACTCTTTGTGACCTCATGGACCAGCCTACGCCAGAGCTCCCTGTCGGCCGTTCACCACCCCCAGCTCCCTCAAGGTCAGTCCAGTCACTTCAAGGATGCCATCCATCCATCTTGCCCTTGGTCGGCCCCTCTTCCTTTTACCTTCCACTTTCCCCAGCATAATTCCCTTCTCAAGGCTTTGCTGTCTCCTCATGATGTGGCCAAAGTACTTCAGCTTTGTCTCTAGTCTCCTTCCCTCCAATGAGCAGTCGGGCTTTATTTCCTGGAGGATGGACTGGTTGGATCTTCTCGCAGTCCAAGGCACTCTCAGAACTTTCCTCCAACACCACAGCTCCAAAGCATCTCTCTTCCTTCGCTCAGCCTTCCCTAAGGTCCAGCTCTCACATCCGTAGGTAACTACAGGGAAGACCTGGCTTGGACTAGGCAATGGATCTTTGTTGCCAGTCTGATGTCTCTACTCTTTACTATTCTATCGAGACTGGACATGGCTCTCCTCCCAAGAAGGAAGTGTCTCCTGATTTCCTGGCCACAGTCTGCATCTGCAGTAATCTTTGCGCCTAGAAATACAAAGTCTGTCACGGCCTCCACATTTTCTCCCTCTATTTTCCAGTTGTCAATCATTCTTGTTGCCATAATCTTGGTTTTTTTGATGTTTAGCTGCAACCCAGCTTTTGCGCTTTCTTCTTTCCACCTTGATTAGAAGGCTCCTCAGCTCCTCCTCGCTTTCGGCCATCAGAGTGGTGTCATCTGCATATCTGAGGTTGTTAATGTTTCTTCCAGCCATTTTCACCCCAGCTTTGCATTCATCCAGCCCCGCACATCCTCGCATGATGTGTTCTGCATACAAGTTAAAAAGGTTGGGTGAGAGGATGCAGCCTTGCCGTACGCCTTTCCCAATCTTGAACCAGTCTGTTGTTCCGTGGTCAGTTCTGACTGTTGCTACTTGGTCCTTGGTCAGATCCCTCAGGAGAGAGGGAAGGGGGCTTGGGATGCCCATCCCACCAAGAACTTGCCACCATTTATGATGATCCACACAGTCCAAGGCTTTAGAATAGTCAATGAAGCAGAAGTAGATGTTTTTCTGAAACTCCCTGCCTTTCTCCATTCTCCAGCCTCCGGAGATTGGCAATCTGGTCTCTCGTTCCTCTGCCTTTTCTAAACCCAGCTTGAACATCTGGCAACTCTCGCTCCATGTCTTGCTGGAGTCTTCTTCCTTGCAGGATCTTGAGCATTACCTTACTGGCATGAGAAATAAGGGTCACTGTACAGAAGTTTGAGCAGTCTTTTGCATTTCCCTTTTTTGGTATGGGGATATAAGTTGATTTTTTCCAGTCTGATGGCCATTCTTGTGTTTTCCATATTTGCTGGCATATGGCATGCATCACCTTGACAGCATCCTCTTTTAAGATTTTAAACAGTTCAGCTGGGATCCCGTCGTCTCCTGCTGCCTTGTTGTTAGCAATGCTTCTTAAGGCCCATTCAACCTCACTCCTCAGGATGTCTGGTTCTAATTCATTCACCACACCATCATAACTATCCTCAATATTATTATCCTTCCTATATATATTACCATTAATATTGCAGTATAATATAGTACAATATAATAATATATAATACTAATATTGTCCTATACTAATATAATAAATATAATAATTATATATTATATTACCAATAATATTGCAGTATAGTAAAGTACAATATAATGATCAATAATACTAATACTGTGCTGTATTAATATAATAAAAATAATATATAATACTAATATTGTGCTATACTATTTTCAGTAGTACTATAATATATTAGAATATTATTACATATTACATTTATTATTATTATATTATTAGTATAGCACAAATGTTAGTATTATATATTATTGTATTGTGGGAGGAGAGCAATGTCCAGTCTCGATAAAATAGTGAAGAGTAGAGACATCAGACTGGCAACAAAGATCCGCCTAGTCAAAGCCATGGTATTCCCTGTAGTCACCTACGGATGTGAGAGCTGGACCTTAGGGAAGGCTGAGCGAAGGAAGATCGATGCTTTTGACTGTGGTGTTGGAGGAAAGTTCTGAGAGTGCCTTGGACTGCGAGAAGATCCAACCAGTCCATCCTCCAGGAGGTGAAGCCCGACGCTCATTGGAGGGAAGAAGACTAGAGACAAAGTTGAAGTACTTTGGCCACATCATGAGGAGACAGCAAAGCCTAGAGAAGACAATTATGCTGGGGAAGTGGAAGGCAAAAGGAAGAGGGGCCGACCAAGGGCAAGATGGATGGATGGCATCCTTGAAGTGACTGGACTGACCTTGAAGGAGCTGGGGGTGGTGACAGCTGACAGGGAGCTCTGGCGTGGGCTGGTCCATGAGGTCACGAAGAGTCGGAGACGACTGAACGAATGAACAACAACAACACTATACTACTATATTGCAATACTATTGGATAATATTATTGCAGTATAGTAGTATAGTACAATAATACACAATACTAATATTGTGCTATACTAATACTAATAACATAATAATAAATATAATATGTAATAATATTGTAATCTATTAATTATAATATTACTGATATCACAATATATAATGATAATACTGTGTTATTATTGGATATTTGTATATTTGTAGTAGTGTTGTCATGTTTGTAATGGCGCTTCCCCTTTAAGGCCAAGGCTGTCAATCAATGAATGGTAACCTAGCAACCGCGGCCTCTTCCCCCCTCCCTCGGGCGGTGCGGCCTAGCGCCTCGGCCGGAGCCTTCCTTTCCTGACCTTCTTGTCCCAGATCTGCAGCGGCTTGCTCCCGATGGAGTAGAGGACGGAGAGGAAGCCGCTCTGGAAGGTGTTCTTGAACATCCCTCCCTCCCGCCGGGACACACACGAGCCTCCTCCGCCGCCGCCGCCGCCTCCCTCAGCACACGCTCCGCTCTGCGCCGCCTCAGCCCGCCCTGCGCGGAAGGACACCTCGCACGCTAAACAAGACCAACCAATGAGATCACTCCGCCAGGCGCCCGCTGACAGGGTGGCCCCGCCCCTCCCTCCGTCGCCATGGAGAGCACTACTTTCCCTCCCGCCGGGACTCGTTTTTTGTTGTAGCAGACCAATGCGCGTTGCCCGGGCGACGGGAGGGCGGGGCGTTGGAAGCGGCTTCGTGTATGGCAGGCGGAGCGGCCAATAGAGGGCCGAGTAGACCCCGGGGGGCGGGACTAGTTTGCATCTTTGGATACACACAGCCCAGTCTGATTGGGAAAGGCCTAATTAAGCCAAGAGTGGTTTAATTGGGGAGAATCAGCTCCTGTGGAGGCCTGAGCCCTAGGGCAGAGGGAGGGCTCCTTCTCCAACAGGCTTGGGAACAGAACTTCTGGTTTCTTAAGATTTTGGAAGGTCTGGATCTATACTACATAGAGATATATAGATACACACACACACACACACACAACCTACAATATATATATATATATATACACAAACATACACACACATATCTACATTATATATATATATACACACACACACACACCCTACAATATATATATATTCACAAACATACACACATATCTACATTATATATATATATACACACACACAACCTACAATATATATATATATTCACAAACATACACACATATCTACATTATATATATATATATACACACAACCTACAATAAATATATACACACACATATCTACATTATATATATACACAAACATACACACATATATCTACATTATATATATATACACACACACAACCTACAATATATATATATACACAAACATACACACATATCTACATTATATATATATACACACAACCTACAATAAATATATACACACACATATCTACATTATATATATATACACACACACAGACACATACACACATATCTACATTATATATATATATATATACACACACACAACCTACAATATATATATATACACAAACATACACACATATATCTACATTATATATATACACACACACAACCTACAATAAATATATACACACACATATCTACATTATATATTTATATACACACACACACAACCTACAATATATATATATATATACACGAACATACACACATATATCTGCATTATATATATATACACACACACACCCTACAATATATATATATACACAAACACACAACCTACAATATATATATACACAAACATGCACACATATATCTACATTATATATATATACACACACAACCTACAATAAATGTATACACACATATATCTATATTATATATTTATATATACACACACACACAACCTACAATAAATATATACACACACATATGTACATTATATATTTATACACACACACACACACACACAACCTACAATATATATATACACAAACATGCACACATATATCTACATTATATATATATATATACACACACACACAACCTACAATATATATATATATAAACAAACATACACACATATATCTACATTATATATATACACACACACAACCTACAATAAATATACACACATATCTACATAATATATATATATACACACACTCACAAAACCTACAATAAATATATACACACAAATACACACACAACCTACAATAAATATATACACACAAATACACACATATATCTACATTATATATATATACACACACATATACACACACATATTACCTACATCATATACATATACACCTAAATCATGTGTTTGTGTGTGTATATGCACACACACACACATATTTATGCACACACACAACCTACTAAATATATATACACATATATACATATACACCTAAATCATGTGTTTGTGTGTGTGTATATATATATATATATATATATATATATATATATGCGCGCACATACACATATTTATACACACGAAACCTACTATATATATATACACACACACATAGACACACACACATATATATCTACATTATATATACACACACACCTACATCATATATATACACACATACACACACTCATACCTACATCATAAACATATACACCTACATCATGTGTGTATACATATATATACACATATATATACATACACTATATATACACACCTACATCATATACGTATACACACAAACATACCTACATAATGTCTACATATATATATATACACATACTTACACCCTATATATAAATATATACACACACACCCCTAAATCTCACACACACATATACACACAATCTTATACATATACGCACACATCTACATCATGTGTATATATGTATGTATGTATATATATATATATATACACACACACACACAATCTACATCATGTATATTTATATATGTATCTACATTATATATATACCTACAATATATATATATATATATACACACACACACAGAGATATACATTATATACATATAAATACACCTACAACATAGACATATACACACACCAATGTTATATATGTGTGTGTGTGTGTGCCTACATCATGCAATATCCTGGAAATGAGATCCAAGTCTACACACAAAACCCATTTAGTTTCCATAAGACACCTTACACACAATATTTCCCCTAAGGTTCTGCATGAAACCCAATGTGTCTCCATTGAACCATCAGGAGGCTCAACCCATATATGTTGTTGTTGTTCATTCATTCAGTCGTTTCCGACTCTTTTTGACCTCATGGACCATCCCACGCCAGAGCTCCCTGTCGGCCGTCACCACCCTCAGCTCCTTCAAGGTCAGTCCAGTCCCTTCAAGGATGCCATCCATCCATCTTGCCCTTGGTCGGCCCCTCTTCCTTTTGCCTTCCACTTTCCCCAGCATCATTCCCTTCTCTAGGCTTTCCTGTCTCCTCATGATGTGGCCAAAGTACTTCCACTTTGTCTCTAGTCTCCTTCCCTCCAATGAGCAGTTGGGCTTTCTTTCCTGAAGTATGGAACGTATTTTCCTCACGTAATAGTCGCACCCCCTTTTTAAATGGGAAAATGTGCAACTCTTATGTGATGGGCTGGGCTTTAGCACAGCTGGTTCATCACCAGCAGCAATAGATCACACCGATTGAGAGGTTGGTAGTTTGAAGTGTCAGATATATGTATGTGTTTTAAGTGCTTTGTAGTTTTCAAAGTTAGTGATTATGTGCTTAGAAATGTAATGCTGTGATTTGCAGTGTGCCAAGTTGTAATTCCTGTGTGGAAAGGGTTAACTGTATCATGAAGGAGGAGTCGTAAATCTCAGTGCGGAAAAGTGCTGTACGCTGTCGAGAGTCATACCTGGTATGTCATCACGTCACTGCGGAATGTGGGAGTGAACCGGTTAGTCGATTGCAACGGAAAGCCAAGCCATGTAGCCATTTTTGTTTCTCGTTGTTGTTATTATTATTATTATTATTATTATTATTATTATTATTATTCTGCTTAGTGTTAGTGTAAATAGTTTTGTGTTAAATAAACAAATAGACCAGAAGATGTGTTTCAGTGCCTTGTGTGTGTGCTGAGATCCTCGCCATTCCATTAACATGAAGCGCCCGACCTTCAGCCCAGCCCATTGTCCACCTAAGCAATTCGAAAACAGTTGTGAGCTGTGAGTAGAGAGATTAGGAAGCTATTTTATGGCACCGTAGAGGACGGCGCAATGGAGCGACAGCACCTCCCTGTGGCTGGAATCGAGCACAACCTCCAGGACACTAAAGATGGGGAAAATGCCGATATTTTATATATATACACACACCTTACATTATATACATATATATACACCTACAACACAGACATATACGCACACCAGTGTTATATATATGTGTGTGTGTGTGTGTGTGTGCCTACATCATGCAATATCACATCACTATCTGTTGTCTGTCCTGTCTAACGACATTGAATGTTTGCCGTGTACGTGTTCTGTGATCTGCCCTGAGTTCCCTTCGGGGTGAGAACGAAAGGCGAAATATAAATGCCGTAAACAAACAAATAAGGTAACTACCAAAACATCCCAGAGACAGATTTAATGGGCCCTTAGCAAACGCAATGGTGCCCACCTCCCAAATTTCCTTAACAGCAGGAAATCCATCACAATCTTATTAGGAAGGGAAAGTATTTGGAAGACAGGAGATCAAATTTAGTTTCTGTCAAGCATTAATGAAGGTCCTTGCTGCTGTTTGGGTGAAATTCACATTTTCCCACTAAAAAGGGGGGGGGGGTGCGACTATTACGTGAGGAAAACACATTCCGTTGCTTTTAAAATAAATTCCCCATATATTATTATTATTATTATTATTATTATTATTATTATTATTATTATTATTATTATTCCCCCCAAAGGCCACACTGTCAGAGGAATTCTAGGGAAACAGGAGCTTAAATGCTTTTGTTTAAGACATCTGAAGGAATCCAACAGAAGACATTGTTGCTGTTGGGGTGAAATTCACATTTTCCCATTAAAAAGGGGGTGCGACTATTACGTGAGGAAAACACATTCCGTTGCTTTTAAAATTCCCCATATATTATTATTATTATTATTATTATTATTATTATTATTATTATTATTATTATTATTTCCCAAAAGGCCACATTGTCAGAGAGGAATTCTAGGGAAACAGGAGCTTAAATGCTTTTGTTTAGGACATCTGAAGGAATCCAATAGAAAACCTTGCTGCTGTTTGGGTGAAATTCACATTTTCCCATTAAAAAAGTGGGTGCGACTATTACGTGAGGAAAACACGTTCCGTTGATTTTAAAATAAATTACCCATTTATTATTATTATTATTTTGATTAGGACACCTGAAGGAAACCAATAGGAAACCTTGCTGCTGTTTGGGTGAAATTCACATTTTCCCATTTAAAAATTGGGTGCGACTATTACATGAGGAAAACACGTTCCATTGATTTTAAAATAAATTCCCCATATATTATTATTATTATTATTATTCCCCCCAAAGGCCACACTGTCAGAGAGGAATGCCAGGGAAACAGGAGTTTAAATGCTTTTGATTAGGACACACGAAGCAATCCAATAGGAAACTTTGCTGCTGTTTGGGTGAAATTCACATTTTCCCATTAAAAAAGGGGGTGCGACTATTATGTGAAGAAAACACGTTCTGTTGCTTTTAAAATAAATTCCCCATATATTGTTATTATTATTATTATTCCCCCCAAAGGCCACACTGACAGAGAGGAACTCTAAGGAAAACATGAAGCAATCCAATAGGAAACCTTGCTTTGGGAGGAATTCACTCCTTTCTTGAAGCCGCCCCCAAAGAGGCCCTGTTTCAGGAAGAGCCTCCTAAAAGGGTCCCTTTGCCCCACGATTTGGCCCAGCCTCAAGACTCTCCATCCATCCGTGTACTTTTAAAACCTTTATTCAATAATATATATAATACTTCTGAATATAGAACTGTCCATCACGGCACGGAGCCTCCCCCGCACCAGTTTGCCCAGTAAAAGGGCCGTTCTGGCCGGAGAAGACATACTGGTCTGGGCGCCGGGAGATGACGAGAACGGGTTGAGCATGCCCTTCGCCTTGGCCATGCTTTCTTGGTCCAGAAGAGGTCAACCGGAAGAGGGAGGTCAGTGAGTTTTGGGTGCTTCTCGGGTGCCTTCGCCGCTGTTCTTGCCGCCGCGCCGCTCCTCCAACCGGTCACTTCGCTGACCGCTAAAGAAGATGCGCACCTCCTCTGTACAGAAGCGGGTGAAGACGTCTTGGGTTTGGTTTCTTGCTCTGCTTATGGGAAATGGGGAGGAACAGCGTCAGACAGACCTGGGGAAGAGACGGGAAGCAAGTGTCAAAGGCAGAGCCGGGCCCGGAAGAAGGCTCTCTCCGCGCAGTAGGGACCCCGTATCCGCAGGAGGGTTCAAAAGAAAAAAACCCAGCAACCTCAAGCTAAATACCAACGACAAACGGATCAACTTCGATGCGGTATTGTCCGTCCTTGTTAATTCTGTAACGGCACTGAATGTTTGCTTTATATGTGCTGTATATGGCTTCAGGAAAGGCAAAAGCTGCACATGGCAAGTGCTGAACCTGACTCAACACATCGAAGATGGCTTTGAAAGGCAGCAGATCCCAGGAGCTGTCTTCATAGACCTCTCAGCGGCTTATGAGACTGTGAACCACCGGCTCCTCCTGAGAAAAATGTCTAATATCCCCAAGGACGACCACCTCACCCGCCTCATAGGAAACCTGCTACAAAACAGGAGCTTTTTTGTTGAGTTCCAGGGCCAGAGAAGCAGATGGCGGAAACAGAAGAACGGCCTGCCTCAGGGGAGCGTGCTTGCTCCATCCATGTTCAACATCTACACAAATGACCAGCCACTGCCAGAAGGGACAGAGAGCTTCATCTATGCTGACGATCGTGCCATCACCAGTCAAGCAGGGAGCTTTGAGATGCCGAAGGAGGACCTATTGATCTACTCACATTGGCATGTTTTCAAACCGCTAGGTTGGCAGGAGCTGGGACTAACAGCGGGAGCTCATCCCGCTCCCCAGATTTGAACTAACCTTTCGGTCAGCAAGTTCAGCAGCTGAGCGGTTTAACCCGCCGCACCACCAGAGGGCCCAGTACGTTATATTATTTGCCATATGTAAGGGAAGCTCATCCTTGGGTTTCCAACCCCGAACCCCCAGGAGTGAGATTTCAGCCCGTGACGCCCCTCTTTTTTCCTTCCGAAAGGCTCCCCGAGACCAGAAGGAGGAGGAAGGAGGACACGCGTTTGTACATAGAGAGATTTATTGGTTCCAGTGAATTGTACAAATGGATCTGACCTGATGTCGATGCTAACACGTTGTTATTTTACCGGGATGCGGAATGTAAACAAGATGCTTCAAAAAGAGAAAACAGTCTAAACCTCCATGTCGTAAAATTAAATACTCGGCGATGCATTCAGAAGATGAGAGAAAGGGAGGGAGGGGGGGATCCACCTCCAGGCATGGTGACCCAAACACAAAAAAATAATAATTATGCGCATTTTCGGATGTATGACGTCACCGGGATCGCAAAATATAATGCTTCCCCCTCCAAAATAATAATAATAATTTAAATAATAATAATAATAATAATAATAATAATTAACTTAAATAATTATTTATTATTATTATTTTATTAAAATTATTATTATTTAAATAATAATAATAAAAGGTGGGGTTTTGAACGATGTGGGGCTTGGAAGAGACCCAACCGAAGAAGAGGAAGGGAAACACAGAACGGGGCAGAGATTCGGAGTGGTGGCCCCGCTATATTTCCAGCTTCCCCTCCAAAAAAAAAGAATAGGCTTCCTCTTTGCTGCTTCTTCTTCCACGCCTGCGACGTCTCAAAAGTGTCCCCCAAGGTGGGCTTTTCCTATCGATTGCAACGGAATTGCTCCTTCCGCCTTGAAAGACCGACGTTCCTTCCTTCCTTCCTTCCTCCCCTCTTGGCAAAAAGGCAGGCACTTCCCATTGGGAGGAAAGGAGGGGGATTTGAGGAATCGGGGAGAGCCTCTCAAACGCGTTTCAGAACCAGACTATGGCCTCAAAACTTTCGGGGAGATGCAAAGGGCCGAGGTGGGTTCCCGTAAAGAGGCCCAGCGTCGTCACCGGCTCGCGTTTCGCTCGTTTCGGGCGCCGGGAACAAACCGGGAGCTGGCCCAGCGGAAGAAAAACAAACACAAAGGTAGAAGAGGAAGAAGGGGCGGAGACGGCGCGTTTCGGAGTCCCTCGCCCTCGAATCCGCACCGCACACAACCGTTTGGATCAGGACTTTGGTGTAACACACACAGAGAGAGTTGAGAGAGAGAGAGAAAGAGAGAGAGAGCGGAAGGGAGGAAGGGGGAAGCCCGCCCTGCCCTTCCCTTCCGAAGCCAGGCTGCGGATAACGGGGTTCCGGTTCGCTCCCTGCCTTTCCTTTCCTTTCCTTCCCCAGCTGGCCGGAGGGGGGGTCTCGTGCGCCTGGCATTTGTAAACCGCTGGAATTACCCGTCGTTGCCGTCGTCGTCGTCTGCGTCGCCGTCTCCCCAAACTTCATCGGGCGGCGGTCAGGCCGCTGGAGAGGACGGGGCTGTCCGAACTGGGCTGCTGCTGCTGCTGGACCTGCTCCTTCACCACCGGGTCTAAAGGGAGGAGATCAAGGAGACAGAATGAAGTTCACCCCACAACTTGAGAAACTGCAAGACGCTTCTGGTGTGAGAGAATTGGCCGTCTGCAAGGATTGGCTGTCTGTCATATGTTCTGCAGTTGATGGTGGTGGTGATGGATGGGTTAATGTGAGTATTCTAGAGGGTTTGGTAATCTGTAAGTGGGAGTTCATGGGTGTAAGCAATTGGGGGTGGAGGTGTGCAGGAGATGGGTTGCAGCTGGGTGTTACTGGATTTAAGGAGCTAACCTTGAGACTGACCTTTGGGAGAAAAGTATCTGTTGCATTTTGGTGGTGGATGCTGCTAGTCCCCCCCCCCCTCCAGATCTGTTGGATTTTAGTGGTGGATGCTGCTGGTTTTCCCCCAGGTCGGATTTTGGTGATGTATGTTGCTGGTTTTCCCCCCAGGTCTGTTGGATTTTGGTGGTGGATGCTGTTGGTTTTCCCCCCAGGTCTGTTGGATTTTGGTGATGTATGTTGCTGGTTTTTCCCCCAGGTCTGTTGCATTTTGGTGGTGGATGCTGCTGGTTTTCTCCCCAGGTCTGTTGGATTTTGGTGGTGGACGTTGCTGGTTTCCCCCCTAGGTCTGTTGCATTTTGGTGGTGGACGTTGCTGGTTTTTCCCCCAGGTCTGTTGCATTTTGGTGGTGGATGCTGCTGGTTTTCTCCCCAGGTCTGTTGGATTTTGGTGGTGGACGTTGCTGGTTTTCTCCCCAGGTCTGTTGGATTTTGGTGGTGGACGTTGCTAGTTTTCCCCCCAGGTCTGTTGGATTTTGGTGGTGGACGTTGCTGGTTTCCCCCCGTCTCTTGTATTTTGGTGGTGGACGCTGCTGGTTTTTCCCCCAGGTCTGTTGGATTTTGGTGGTGGATGCTGCTGGTTTTCCCCCCAGGTCTGTTGGATTTTGGTGGTGGACCTTGCTGATGTTCCCCCCAGGTCTCTTGTATTTTGGTGGTGGACGCTGCTGGTTTTTCCCCCTGGTCTCTTGGATTTTTCGGTATCCTGACCTGTGTCCTGTAATCTTGGAATCCTGGAACCTTGAACCTTTGGACTGGCTTTTGACTACATTATAGACTCTTGACCCCTGGACTTTGTTTATTGAACCCTCGGCATTTGACCACTGGACTGGACCCTTTTGACTACGGAGTTATTTTGTGTCACCCAAAATGCACATTATGCATGTACACATAACAAAACAAAGAACCCGTCCTTCTATGTTCCATTGCACAGTCCCTCGCGCCAATGTATAGGTGAATGGATGGAGAATAGATGGGCTGGTGGATGAATAGAGAGACCCTTCGGAGGTGGTTTTTCTAAGCAAGTGACCAGCCCCCTCCCTCCTCCCGAGACCTTCACTCACAGAAATAGGGGTGCTCCATGGCTTCTTTGGCAGTCAACCTCTGTTGATGGTCGTATCGCAGGAGTTTGTCCAGAAGGTCCAAGACCTCAGGGCTGACCAGGTGTCTGTTTTCGTTGTGAATGAAGTTCTCCCAGCGCTTCCGAGAATGCCTGCGCAAAAGAGGCATGCGCCCGGGTCAGGAAGAGGCTCTCAGGTGCCGAGGGATTGTTTGGATGCCACCAAGAGCCCATGGGCCACCACTCAACACCTTCTGGGACCCTCGGGGCTCATACGCTAGCTTCTCAGCAGCCATTTACAGGATTGAGACATCTGAAGCCAATAGATCTCAGAAGACGGAGAGGCCGAGAGCAGGTGGGTGTCTGCAAGGGCATTGACTTGACAGGGGAGACCCAGAGGGCTGCCGGCAGCTGCTCCGGATCCCTCACCGCCATCACGCCAAGGAGTCCCGCCCTCCCATCTGCCTTCCCTTCTTCTTCCCGCTTTCTTCCCTTCTCTCATACCTATCCTCCTTCCCTTCCCTTCCTTCTCTCCTTTTCCTGTCCCCCCTCCATCCTTTCCCTCCCTCCCTCCCTTCCATCCATCCGTTCCCTTCTCTTGCTTTCTTTTCCCTTCTTTTTTCTCCTTCCTTCATACTTTTCTTCCTTCTCTCCCTTATTTCCTTTCTTTCCATTCTATTTCTCCTTCCTTCCTTTCTTCCTTCCATCCTTCACACACACACATACCCTTCCCTTGCTTTTTTCTTTCCTCCTCCCTTCTTCCTTCCTTCCTATCTCTTCTTCCCTTCCCTTCTTTCTTTCCCTCATTCTTTTCCGCCTTTCCTTTCTTTTCCTTCCCTCCTCCTCCTTTTTCCTTTCTCCCCACTCCCTTGTTTCCTTTCTTTCCCTTCTTTCTCCTATCCTCCTTCCCTTTCCCTGCTTCCCGCCCTCCTTTTCCTCCTTCTTTCTTTTCTCCCTCTCATCCCTCATATATACATTCCCTACTTTTGCTTTTTCTTCCTTCCCTCCTTTCTCTTCCCTTCTTCTTTTCTCCTTCTTTCCCTCATACCTTTCTTCTTTCCCTCCCTGGTTGTTTCCTTTCTTTCCATTCTCCTTTCTTCCTTCTTTCCTTCCGTCCATCCCTCGTACACACATTCCCTTCCCTTGCTTTCTTCTTCCTTCCTTCATCTTTTTCCTTCCTTCTTTCTTCCTTCTCTTTTCCTTTCCTTCTTCTCTTCTTTCTTTCCTCTCCTTTCTCCTTCTCTTTCTCCTTCTCTCTTCTTTCTTCCCTCCCTTTCTTTCTTTCCCTTTCTTCCTCCTTCCTTCTTCCTTTCTTCTTTTGCTTTTGTCCTTCTTCCTCCTCCTTCATTTCAACCTTTTCTTTCTCTTTCCACCCCTCCTTCTCTCCTTCCTCCTCCATTTCTTCTCCCCCTGAAATCCTCTTCCTTTCTCCTTCTTCCTTCATTTCATCATCATCTTCTTTTGTCCTTCTCTTTTCTCTTTCCTTCCTCTTCTCCTTATTCCTCTTTTCTTTCATTCTCTCTTTCCTCTTCCTCAATTTCTACTCCTCTTGTCCCCCTCATTCCTTCTCTTCTTCTCCTTTCTTATGAAAGAGTTGAGCCCCTTGTCTCATTGTGACACATGCTGTGTCACAATGGATGTATTCCATCTTTCTTGTTTTCTCCCCAGAACATGGCTTTTATAAAATTTATAGGCAATATTGATCCCTCCCCTTCCCTTCTCTCTTTCCTTCTCTCACACCTTTCTCCTTTCCTTCCTTCCCCTCCCTTTTTTCTCTTTCCTTCCTTCCTTCCTCTTCCCTTTTTTACACATGTCGTCACTCCACTTCGCTCCCTTTCCTTCCCACTCGGATGGCAGAGGGCCACTTCACCTAGCAACAGCCAACTCACTCTGTTCCCTTTCTCCGCTCTGGCCCATGCAAGGGAACGAGATGTGGCTGTGAGAACTTACTGTCCCAGGATATCATTGAAGTGCGGGTCCAGTTCTATGTGGTACTTCTTCAGGTAACCATATAATTCGTCCGTACCCAGGACCTTGGCGATGCGAACCAACTGCAGGAAAGAAGAGACGAGCGTCAACGGAAAGGAAGGGAAACAACACAGAGAGCCCAGAAGCCAGCAACGCAAGAGGAGAAACAGGAGCCAGGAAGAGGCCCATTATCATAACACTACGTCACACAATCTGAAAAACGTTCTGTTCCTGCTTTGAAAGTATTATTTCCTGTTTTAATGTGCGGTCCTTCCTTTGAAAGTAGTTGTCCTGCTCCAGAAACTTCTCTTTTGCGATCAGATCTGGGCTTGTTCTTAACTCAGACTCCGTTTTAGAAAACAGTAACCCTCCATTAGTTATGTGGTATGTATATAATCCAAATTGCTGGCTGTATTGTATATGTGTGTACTGGTGTGCAGTTTTCCTTAATTCTTCCTTGTGGGAGGGGCTGCAGACCATGAGGTCAGATCTGGGCTTGTTTAGGACTCAGACTCCGTTTTAGAAACCAGTAAGCCTCCACTAGTTATTTGTTATGTATATAATTCAAAGTGCTCGCTGTACTGTATATGTGTGTACTGCTGTGCAGCTTTCCTTAATTCTTTCTTGTGGGAGGGGTTGCAAACCATGTGATCAGATCTGGGCTTGTTCAGGACTCAGACTTCTTTTTAGAAACCAGTAAGCCTCCACTAGTTATTTGTTATGTATATAATTCAAATTGCTCGCTGTATTGTATATATGCGTACTGGTGTGCAGCTTTCCTTAACTCTTTCTTGTGGGAGGGGCTGCAGACCATGTGATCAGATCTGGGCGTGTTCAGGACTCAGACTCCATTTTAGAATCAGTACAGTTCAGACTTTCAATGTCTTGTATATGTGTGTACTGGTGTGCAGTTTTCCTTAACTTTTTCTTGTGGGAGGGATTGCAGACCATGTGATCAGATCTGGGATTGTTCAGGACTCAGACTCCATTTTAGAAACCAGTAAGCCTCCACTAGTTATGTGTTATGTACATAATTCGAATTCCTCACTGTATTGTATTTGTGTGTACTGGTGTGCAGTTTTCCTTAACTCTTTCTTATGGGAGGGGCTGCAGACCATGTGATCAGATCTGGGCTTGTTCAGGACTCAGACTCCATTTTAGAAACCAGTACAGTTCAGACTTTCAATGTCTTGAATGAGGAGCATCCAGCTTCTGCAAGGAGGAAACTGCTGGAAATAGCAACCTTCAATAAGCCTCCACGAGTTATTTGTTATGTATATACTTCAAATTGCTCACTGTATTGTATATGTGTGTACTGCTGTACAGCTTTCCTTAACTCTTTGTTGTGGTAGGGGTTGCAGACCATGTGATCAGATCTGGGCTTGTTCAGGACTCAGACTCCATTTTAGAAACCAGTAAGCCTCCACTAGTTATGTGTTATGTATATAATTCAAATTGCTTGCTGTATTGTATATGTGTGTACTGGTGTGCAGTTTTCCTTAACGCTTTCTTGTGGGAGGGGTTACAGACCATGTGATCAGATCTGGGCTTGTTTAGGACTCAGACACAATTTTAGAAACCAGTAAGCCTCCACTAGTTATGTGTTATGTATATAATTCAAATTGCTTGCTGTATTGTATATGTGTGTACTGGTGTGCAGTTTTCCTTAACGCTTTCTTGTGGGAGGGGTTACAGACCATGTGATCAGATCTGGGCTTGTTTAGGACTCAGACTCAATTTTAGAAACCAGTAAGCCTCCACTAGTTATGTGTTATGTACATAATTTGAACTGCTTGCTGTATTGTGTATGTGTGTACTGGTGTGCAGTTTTCCTTAACTCTTTCTTGTGGGAAGGGTTTCAGACCATGTGATCAGATCTGGGCTTGTTCAGGGTTCAGACTCCGCTTTAGAATCAGTACAGTTCAGACTTTTAATGTCTTGTATATGTGTGTACTGGTGTGCAGTTTTCCTTAACTCTTTCTTGTGGGAGAGGTTGCAGACCATGTGATCAGATCTGGGCTTATTCGGGACTCAGACTCCGTTTTAGAAATCAGTACAGTTCAGAAGGGGCGCATGCATGCCCACGATCTCATTGCAAAGCTCTCTTGGGCTTCCTCACCTGGTCATAGTTGTCTTGACCGTGGAAAAAGGGCTCTTTCCGGAAGATCATGCTGGCCAGCATACAGCCTAAGCTCCACATGTCGAGGCTATAGTCGTACATCTGCAAGAAGAACAGGGACACAGGCAGCAAAGGGGACGCCACAGGGGTGTTGACACCTCCCTATGCCACCCAAAGCCTTTTGACATGGCTGGAGTTACGCTTGAATAGTCCCTCAAAGTGTTCTCCTCCAGGTATTTCATATTATATTACATTATATTATATATCCAGGTTCCATCTTGTCTCATGTGCTATGCTAACAATATAATATATAATATAATATAATATAATATAATATAATATAATATAATATAATATAATATCTATATAAATAAAAATGTAATGTTCGTTCATGCTACCATCAGAACTCAAAAACCACTGGGGGAATTGACACTAAATTTGGAAACAAGACACCTAACACTCCAATGTATGTCCTCCACTCAAAAAAATTATTTTGTCATTTGGGAATTGTCGTTGCTGGGATTTATAGTTCACCTACAATCAAAGAGCATTCTGAACTCCACCAATGATGGAATTGGGCCAAACTTAGCACACAGGGCTCCCATGACCAACAGAAAAAACTGGAAAGGTTTGGTGGACACTGACCTTGAGTTTGGGAATTATAGTTCACCCACATCCAGAGAGCACTGTGGACTCAAACAATGATGGATCTGGACCAAACTTGGCACGAATATTCCATATGCCCAAATATGAACACAGATGGAGTTTAAGGGAAATAGACCTTGACATTTGGGAGTTGTAGTTACTGGGATTTATAGTTCACCTACAATCAAAGAGCATTCTGAACTCCACCAATGATGGAATTCAACCAAACATGGCATACAGGACTTCCATGACCAACAGAACACACTGGAAGGGTTTGGTGGGCATTGACCTTGAGTTTAGAAGTTGTAGTTCACCTACATCCAGAGAGCACTGTGGACTCAAACAATGATGGATCTGGACCAAACTTGACACAAATATTCCATATGCCCAAATATGAACACAGATGGAGTTTGGGGGAAATAGACCTTGACATTTGGGAGTTGTAGTTACTGGGATTTATAGTTCACCTACAATCAAAGAGCATTCTGAACTCCACAAACAATGGAATTGAACCAAACTTGGCACACAGAACTCCCATGACCAACAGAAAATACTGGAAGGGTTTGGTGGGCATTGACCTTGAATTTTGGAATTGTAGTTCACCTACATCTAGAGAGCACTGTGGACTCACAATGATGGATCTGGACCAAACTTGGCACAAATACTCAATATGCCCAAATATAAACACAGATGGAGTTTGGGGGAAATAGACCTTGGCATTTGAGAGTTGTAGTTACTGGGATTTATAGTTCACCTACAATCAAAGACCATTCTGAATGAACCCCACGAACGAGAGAATCGGGGCAAACTTCCCACACAGAACCCCCATGACCAACAGAAAATACTTAAGGCCATCCAGTGCAACTACCTTCATCAGGGCAAGAAAACGTAATCAGAGCCCTCCTCACAGAGAGCAATCAAGCCATAGATATAGATAGATAAATATGATTCACACACACACACACAGATAAAGTATTATAGATTTGAAAGGGACTCCTAAAGATGGACAATTAAATGTTGCATGTTCCAGAATAGGAAAACCAGACATTCTCCACATCAACACTGGCAAAGAAACAGCAAGAAATAGTCTTTACCCACAAGCATAAAGACATTACATATATTAGAAACCAGCACTTTCTAATTACTTTATTTTCCAAATCACCAGACTGGGCCACAGCAACGCCTGGCAGGGGACCGCTAGTATTATATATCCAGGTTCCATCTTGTCTCCTGTGCTATGCTAATAGTGTAATGTAATGTAATGTAATGTAATGTAATGTAATGTAATATACTATTTAATACTGATTGTGTACTATGCTAACAATATTATATTTTGTCTGTATATATATATATCTTGGAAGCCACACTGAGTCCCTTTCAGGGTGAGAAGGGCGGCAGATCAATGTTGTCAATAAATCAATATTTTGGATTCCAGCAGATTTTGGACTTCCAACTCCAAAGTTGGAAGATTGTAGTCCAAAACATGTGGAGTGAGGGCCAAAGCTGGCCCATGCCTGGTCTCATTGTTTGCAAGCAGGAGGAGGAGGGGGAGCCTTACTTGGTAGTCCACGAGGAGCTCGGGGCCTTTGAAGTACCTCGAGGCGACGCGGACGTTGTATTCCTGAGCGGGGTGGTAGAACTCGGCCAAGCCCCAGTCGATGAGGCGCAGCTGCCGAGAGAGGAGAGAAGAGTCAACCCAACCAACAAGGAGGAGCTCCGGCCCAAGAGCAACATAGAAGAAGAAGAAGACTGAGTCGGACGTGGAGAAAGGAAACCATGAGTCTGGCGGCCATTTCTGCAGAGCCACAACTCTTCCATTCTTCCTCTTCCCAGGTTTCAACGGCATGCGTTTCCATTGACGTCCCACTGGGACTGTGTTTTAATAGGTGTACCAGACCTCACAACCTCTGAGAATGCCTGCCACAGATGCAGGCGAAACATCAGGAGAGAATGCTTCCTGAACATGGCCATACAACCTGAAAAACCTACAACAACCCAGTGGACCATGTATTTTAATATATGTATTTTCTAGTACAGGCAGTCCCCAAATTACAAACATCCGACTCCCCAAATTACAAACATCCGACCCCTAGTTAAGAACAGGTGAGAGACAACAGGAAGTGAGAGGAATCTCCCCTTGGAAGGAAGGGAAATGCACTCCCAGAAGAGTTATTATCCTGGGGGAAAGAAGTTTCCACTGAAGCTGAATCACCAATCCTAGTCCCTGTTCCAACTTACATACAAATTCAACTTAAGAGCCGGGTTGTGGCGCAACTGGTTGGGAGTCAGCTGCACTAAAATCACTACTGACCAAAAGGTCATGAGTTCGAGTCCAGCCCGGGTCGGAGTAAGCTCCTGACCATTTGTCTAGCAAACCTACAGAATCTAACTTGTTCATAACTTGGGGACTGGCTGTAATATTTACTATTATTACATATCTGTTGTAAGCTGCCATGAGTCCTTTCAGCGAGAGGGGGCGGGATATAAATAAAGATAATAATAATTATTATTATTATTTATATTATTTAATAATCTTTAATTATATTATTATTATTATTATTATTATTATTATTATTATTATTATTATGATGATGATGATGGAGCCCCTGGTGGCGCAGTGGGTTAAACCCCTGTGCTGCAGGACTGAAGACCAACAGGTCACAGGTTCAAATCCGGGGAGAGGTGGATGAGCTCCCTCTATGAGCTCCAGCTTCTCATGCGGGGACATGAGAGAAGCCTCCCACAAGGATGATAAATCATCCGGGTGTCCCCTGGGCAACGTCCTTGCAGACAGCCAATTCTCTCACACCAGAAGCGACTTGCAGTTTCTCAGGTCGCTCCTGACACGACCAAAAAAATTGTTATTATTATTATGTACCTTTTTCTGTTGGTGGTCTATCATGACGTTATGAGGTTTGACGTCTCTATGCATGATGCCCATGCTGTGACAGTAATCCAAGGCCTGCAAGAAAGAGACAGGTGGACATTAGTGCCTGGCGTAAGGAAAGCCTCGGCCACATTGGAAAAAGAAGGAGAAACAAGACGTATTCCTGGTAATTTCCTTTCCCAACGCAACCGTGAGGCCTCCTTCCAGAAGCTGTGAAGACTCCAGATGAGTGGATCCGGAAGACTTCAGGTATGGAGTTGCTTCGGTACAACCCGAAGCCAGTATTATGTGGTTATAATGGAGTTGGGCCGGGGGGTGGTAGCATATACATCCACATTGCTATGTCTCTGCCACCAAATATACCGTATTTACTCAAATCTAATGTTCACCTTGTTATGACTACACTACCTTAGGGTGACCATTAGATTTGTGTAACTATGAGCCAAAGCCAAAGGGGAAACTGTTTCAGGAGCTGAGCCTAGAGCTTCCATTTGAGGGATGTCATTTCTAATTTAATTTATGGACTCAATGCTATGCAGTGTTGCAACTCAGGGTAGTTTTCACCTTGCTCCAGACACCACCACACCAAGGCTGTAGGTTTTTGTAGTTTATTGAGAAAAGCGAAATGAAAACAAAGAAACAGAAAAGCAATAGTTCCATAGGCAAAACAGAGACTTCAATGTAAAGGCAAAGTTTCCAAGATCCAAAGGCAAAAACATGAAACATAATCCCTTAGCAATGGTCAAACATGGAAAACAGTTGAAAACAAGTCCCAAATCCCAGACTCAGGAAGCCAGAAGCGTGCTGCGAAAAGCCAAGGAAAATGTCCAGAAGTTAACATGGGAAGAGCAATGTTGGACTGACAACAACTGCCTGTCAGCGACAAGACTAAATACCCTTTGTGAACATGAAAGCATTGCGTTGACCTTGGGCACCTTTGGCTTCTCGTTTGCTGTGAAAAGCCAAAGAAAATCTCCAGAAGTTAACATGGGAAGAGCAATGTTGGGCTGACAACAACTGCCTGTCAGCGACAAGACTAAATACCCTTTGTGAACATGAAAGCCTTGCGTTGACCTTTGGCACCTTTGGCTTCTCGCTTGCTGGCCAAGTGAGTGCTTCTCCGAAGCCTTAATTGCAAACGATCTTGTCTGCTCATTAATTCATTATCTGCAAGGCTATGCAACCCCTTATCTGGGTCCAGCTGGGACGGATCCTCCACCTGGCCGTGTGGGATTCCACTCTCGCTATCAGTCTCTCTCACTGCAGGAACATTCCTTTCCTTGGGGAACTGACTTGCTGTTTCTCCTTCAGCAGCCACACTCCCAGCCCCGTCTGAAACATGTACAGGAATCTGTAACCCATCAGGCTCCTCATCATCCTGCAGAAAATCAGGCTCAGAAGGCCCAAAATCAGACTGAGAAGGCCCAAATAGCTCAGCTTCAGAGTCAGAGTCAAGCTGAGTCACAACACGCAATGCTTAGCTGTCCGAACGCATCTCCCTCTATGAACCATCTCGGAGGCTGAGATCGTCCAGGGAGGCCCTGCTCTCCGTCCCACCTCCTTCTCAGGCGCAACTGGTGGGGACGAGAGACAGGGCCTTCCTTCTCAGTGGTGGCCCCTCATCTATGGAATGCCCTCTCCAACAAAATGAAATAGTGATCGTCTGAGGAGGCCCTGCTCTCAATCCCGCCTGCCTCACAGGTGCGTCTGGGGTCCAAATTTGGTGTCAATTCATCCAGTGGTTTTTGAGTTCTGTTAATCCCACAAACGAACATTGCATTTTTATTTATTTATATAGGTTTCGGGGTTTTGTAAATGGAGGTGCGCATTAGATTCAATGGTGCATTAGACTTGAGTCAATACAGATAATATTGGGTGTTGGGAGGTGCTGACAACCCCATTGTGCTTGGGAGGCATGGCACGGGCTGCAACCCGACCCAATATTTGGGAATCCCACATGCCGGGAGTGACCTTCCCCACATTTCAAGCACTCACCTTGAGCAATTCGTACATATAAAACCGGATATCAAAGTCTGTCAGGATCTGGTAGAGTTGCTGGAGTCGGGATTGACGAGAGGAAGCAAAAAAAAGAAACACCAAATCAGTGTTGCAAACCTTTCTGCAAAGCCTCCCACCTGCTCACGGCTTCATCTGAGCCACAGATTTGCAAACAGTGTGTCACGTGAAAAATACTCCCCCAGCCCCTCCCACCCCTAATAGGGGCTGTAAGAAAGAAGGACACAAAAGACCCCAAAAGGGCATCTAGTCCAACCCCCTTCAGCCAAGCAGGAAGACACAGTCAAAGCCTTTTCAACAGACAACCATCCAGCCTCATTTCCAAAACCTCTAGAGAAGGAGACTCCACTGGAAGAGACCCCCAAAGGGCATCTAGTCCAATCCCCTTCAGCCAGTCAAAGCCCTCCCAACAGACAGCCATCCAAGATAAGTTCCAAAACCTCCAGAGTGCAGGATTTTTCCGAATGAAGCAGAGAGTGTTTGAGGACTGGGACATCCGTAGGAACACCAGGGTGCTTGTTTATAAAGCCATTGTCCTCCCAACCCTGCTCTATGCCTGCAAAACATGGACTGTCTACAGACGTCAACACTGACACTGAAATACAACACCATCTGAGCTCTGCAAGTGCAGCATTCTTCCAAATGAAGCAGAGAGTGTTTGAGGACCAGAACATCCGTAGGGAGACCAAGGGGCTTGTTTACAAAGCCATTCCCCTCCCAACCCTGCTATACGCCTGCGAGACGTGGAATGTCTACAGACGTCAACACTGACATGGAAATACAACACCATCTGAGCTCTGCGAGTGCAGCATTTTTCTGAATGAAGCAGAGAGAGTTTGAAGACCGGGACATCCATAGGGAGACCGAGGGGCTTGTTTATAAAGCTATTGACCTCCCAACCCTGCTATATGCCTGAGAAACGTGGACAGTCTACAGACGTCACATGCAACTCCTAGAACGATTCCTGCAACTCGTAGAACGATTCGAAAACCGAATGACTGTGTTGCAAAAAGATTAAAAATTAAATGAACATTACACTTTTATTTATATCGATATATGTGTGTCCCCTTGGGGCGGGGTATAAATAAAGCATTATTATTATTATTATTATTATTTGTGTGTGTGTAGTATGAAAATCTTAGAAGGGGTTGGTTTAACCTTTGGGGTGTTAGTAAAACTGAATGACTGTGTTGCAAAAAGATTTAAAATTAAATGAATATTACACTTTTATTTATATCGATAGATGTGTGTCTTATTATTATTATTATTATTATTATTATTATTATTATTATTATTTGTGTGTGTGTGTAGTATGAAAATCTTAGAAGGGGTTGGTTTAACCTTTGGGTTGCTAGTAAAACTGAATGACTGTGTTGCAAAAAGATTTAAAATTAAATGAACATTACACTTTTATTTATATCGATATATGTGTGTCCCCTTGGGGCGGGGTATAAATAAAGCATTATTATTATTATTATTATTATTTGTGTGTGTGTAGTATGAAAATCTTAGAAGGGGTTGGTTTAACCTTTGGGGTGTTAGTAAAACTGAATGACTGTGTTGCAAAAAGATTTAAAATTAAATGAATATTACACTTTTATTTATATCGATAGATGTGTGTCTTATTATTATTATTATTATTATTATTATTATTTGTGTGTGTGTGTAGTATGAAAATCTTAGAAGGGGTTGGTTTAACCTTTGGGTTGCTAGTAAAACTGAATGACTGTGTTGCAAAAAGATTTAAAATTAAATGAACATTACACTTTTATTTATATCGATATATGTGTGTCCCCTTGGGGCGGGGTATAAATAAAGCATTATTATTATTATTATTATTATTTGTGTGTGTGTAGTATGAAAATCTTAGAAGGGGTTGGTTTAACCTTTGGGGTGTTAGTAAAACTGAATGACCGTGTTGCAAAAAGATTCAAAATTAAATGAATATTACACTTTTATTTATATTGATATATGTGTGTCCCCTTGGGGTGGGGTATAAATAAAGCATTATTATTATTATTATTATTTGTGTGTGTGTGTGTGTAGTATGAAAATCTTAGAAGGGGTTGGTTTAACCTTTGGGTTACTATGTTGACTATGAATGACTGTGTTGCAAAAAGATGCATGTCTACAGAGCGTGTCAACAACACAAAAAGTTTGGAAAGCTTTGCTCTTTGGGTCCTGCCTGCTTCCCAAATCTGCACCGCACAGAAATATATATAAATAAATCTCCCCATCGACACGGCTGCTGTAAACAGAGTCTCATAGCAAGGAGATTAGCGCGGCATTAAACGCTGCAAGGCAACCGTTGCTATATTGAGACAGAGTCGCAAGGAAATGCCACCAACGTCCATGGCGGAGGAACTCTTTCCCAATCTGGGCCACAAAAGCCACAACGAAAGGCAGCTCCAGCCACAGATTTCTTGTAAACAAGCTGGCATGCTGCGCAAGGCATTCTTCTGCAGGAAGGAAGGAAGACTCCGGCCACCGTTTCGGGCAAAGCGACGTTACGAACGCAGAGACTCACCTTGAAATCTGTGTTATTGATGTATTCAAACACCAGGGCGGGGGTCTTGGACTGGAAGAGAGAAAGGTCCGCCATTGAGACACATTGCAACTGACTGTCCCAAGATCCCTTTTCACCCCAACCATATTCACACCCAAACCCTGAAACACAGACGGCCATGGTCTTTAGAGCCAATTCCCCACAAGGAAGGCCAGGACCTACCACGGGATCCCGGACGGTGTCGACCAGCTTGATGATGTTGGTTCCGCCGCGCAGGTTCTCCAAAATCTTCACCTCCCGTTTTATCTTCTTTTTCTTCACTGGCTTAAATACACAAAAGGGGATTTTACAGACGTGAGATTCAAAGAATCAGAATCCTAGAGTTGGAAGAGACCTCCTGGACCATCAAGTCCAACCCCATTCTGCCAAGAAGCAGGAATATTGCATTCAAAGCACCCCTGACAGATGGCCATCCAGCCTCTGTTTCAAAGCTTCCAAAGAAGGAGCCTCCACCACACTCTGGGGCAGAGAGTTCCACTGCTGAACAGCTCTCACAGTCAGGAAGTTCTTCCTCATGTTCAGATGGAATCTCCTTTCTTGTAGTTTGAAGCCATTGAAACCATCTAAAACATCTCAAGGTACCTCCAACTTATGGCCATCTCATAGAATCCTAGAGTTGGAAGAGACCTCATGGGTCTTCATCCAGTCCAACCCCATTCTGCCAAGAAGCAGGAAAATCGCATTCAAAGCCTCCCCAACAGATGGTCATCCAGTCTCTGTTTAAAAGCTTCCAAAGAAGGAGCCTCCACCACACTCTGGGGCAGCGAGTTCCACTGCTGAACAGCTCTCACAGTCAGGAAGTTCTTCCTAATGTTCAGATGGAATCTCCTTTCTTGTAGTTTGAAGCCATTGAAACCATCTAAAACATCTCAAGGTACCTCCAACTTATGGCCATCTCATAGAATCCTAGAGTTGGAAGAGACCTCATGGGTCTTCATCCAGTCCAACCCCATTCTGCCAAGAAGCAGGAAAATCGCATTCAAAGCCTCCCCAACAGATGGTCATCCAGCCTCTGCTCCAAAGCCTCAAAAAGGAGCCTTCACCACACTCTGGGGCAGAGAGTTCCACTGCTGAACAGCTCTCACAGTCAGGAAGTTCTTCCTCATGTTCAGGTGGAATCTCCTTTCTTGTAGTTTGAAGCCATTGAAACCATCTAAAACATCTCAAGGTACCTCCAACTTATGGCCATCTCATAGAATCCTAGAGTTGGAAGAGACCTCATGGGTCTTCATCCAGTCCAACCCCATTCTGCCAAGAAGCAGGAAAATCGCATTCAAAGCCTCCCCAACAGATGGTCATCCAGCCTCTGCTCCAAAGCCTCCATAAAAGGAGCCTCCACCACACTCTGGGGCAGAGAGTTCCACTGCTGAACAGCTCTCACAGTCAGGAAGTTCCTCCTAATGTTCAGATGGAATCTCCTTTCTTGTAGTTTGAAGCCATTGTTGATGCCCTTCCAATCTCCAGGGCAGCAGAAAACAAAACCAGATTGGAAGAGACCTCATGGGCCATCCAGTCCAACCCCTTTCTGCCAAGAATAAGGGAAATCGCATTCAAAGCACCCACGACAGATGGCCATCTAGCCTCTGTTAAAAGCCTCCAAAGAAGGAGCCTCCACCACACTCTGGGGCAGAGAGTTCCACTGCTGAACAGCTCTCACAGTCAGGAAGTTCTTCCTCATGTTCAGGTGGAATCTCCTTTCTTGTAGTTTGAAGCCACTGAAACCATCTAAAACATCTCAAGGTACCTCCAACTTATGGCCATCTCATAGAATCCTAGAGTTGGAAGAGACCTCATGAGTCTTCATCCAGTCCAACCCCATTCTGCCAAGAAGCAGGAAAATCGCATTCAAAGCACCCCCGACAGATGGCCATCCAGCCTCTGTTTAAAAGCCTCCAAAGAAGGAGCCTCCACCACACTCTGGGGCAGAGAGTTCCACTGCTGAACAGCTCTCACAGTCAGGAAGTTCTCCTAATGTTCAGATGGAATCTCCTTTCTTGTAGTTTGAAGCCATTGAAACCATCTAAAACATCTCAAGGTACCTCCAACTTATGGCCATCTCATAGAATCCTAGAGTTGGAAGAGACCTCATGGGTCTTCATCCAGTCCAACCCCATTCTGCCGAGAAGCAGGAAAATCGCATTCAAAGCCTCCCCAACAGATGGTCATCCAGCCTCTGCTCCAAAGTCTCCATAGAAGGAGCCTCCACCACACTCCGAGGCAGAGAGTTCCACTGCTGAACAGCTCTCACAGTCAGGAAGTTCCTCCTAATGTTCAGATGGAATCTCCTTTCTTGTAGTTTGAAGCCATTGAAACCATCTAAAACATCTCAAGGTACCTCCAACTTATGGCCATCTCATAGAATCCTAGAGTTGGAAGAGACCTCATGGGTCTTCATCCAGTCCAACCCCATTCTGCCAAGAAGCAGGAAAATCGCATTCAAAGCCTCCCCAACAGATGGTCATCCAGCCTCTGTTTAAAAGCTTCCAAAGAAGGAGCCTCCACCACACTCCGGGGCAGAGAGTTCCACTGCTGAACGGCTCTCACAGTCAGGAAGTTCCTCCTAATGTTCAGATGAAATCTCCTCTCTTGTAGTTTGAAGCCATTGTTCCAAAACCTCCAATGTTCAGTTTAATGAATCATAGAATCATAGAGTTGGAAGAGACCTCATGGGCCATCAGTCCAACCCCTTCTGCCAAGAAGCAGGAAAATGCATTCAAAGCACTCCCCAACAGATGGCCATCCAGCCTCTGTTCAAAAGCCTCCAAAGAAGGAGTCACAACCACACTCTATGGCAGAGAGTTCCACTGCTGAACAGCTCTCAGTCAGGAAGTTCTTCCTAATGTTCAGATGGAATCTCCTTTCTTGTAGTTTGAAGCCATTGTTAAGCATCCTAGTCTTTCTTTGTAGACTCAACACACCACTCAACGTATATAATAGAAACCTAAGATCTTATAGACCAGCGTTTCTCAACCTGGGGATCAGGACCCCGGGGTGGGGAGTTTTGAGGAGGGTGTCAGAGGGGTGGCCAAAAATCATCAGAAAACACAGCATTTTTGGTTTGTCATGTGGGTTCTATGTGGGAAGTTTGGCCCAATTCTATCCTTGGTGGGGTTCAGGGGGCTCTTTGATGGTACTGAACTATAAATCCCAGCAGCTACAACTCCCAAACATCAAGGTCAATTTTCCCCCAACTCCACCAGTTTTCACATTTGGGCATATTGATCTGGACTGTGTCTGATCTGGAACAAGTGGCCAAACCTGAGTTGTGTTGCCTCCCTCATTCCTTCAGGACAACGAAGCATGCGTACAGCCAAAGCAAAGGCACGCAGGAGGAGGAAATGCTGGTCTGTTTGGCATTAGGAATGCAACGCTATCTGTTTCGGACCAGTTCATCTACATGATTTAAAAGATTGGCCCTTTTTCGGAGGGCGGATCAACAACAAAGCCCTCGCCGTTCACAACTGACAGCTTGAGGGAAAGTATGACAGAAAGCCTTGGGATTTTATGCAAAGTTAAGATGCACGGGAATTATTATTTTGACAAATGCAAATGCGTATCCTTTCTCTCAACAAGGCAGCGATATCAGACAAATAATCTGAAATCCCCCTTTTGAGATGCAAACGCATTTGCTTGCATTGGAACGTATTCCTCACTGATTCTGCTTTGGATCCCAGGTATTTACTGCCAGGAGCCGAGATCGGCCTGTCGTTCTTGAAAAGGAGGGCACACTGCAAAGTTTTACTTAGTGAAGATCTAACCTCAGCAGACTGAAAGCCGAAACCAAGGTCACAACAACATCTGTTATAGAACTCCAGTATGCTGATGACAACGTCATCTGTGCGCATTCAGAAAAAGACCTACAAGCCACTCTAAACACCTTCGTAGAAGCATACGACAAGCTCAGCCTGTCATTAAACAACGAGAAAACCAAAGTGCTCTTCCAGAAGTCACCGGCCAATCCCTCTCCAATGGCAGAGATACAACTTAATGGTGTAACATGAGAAAATGTGGACCATTTCCGCTCCCTTGGCAGCCACCTCTTCACCAAAGTCAACATTGACACTGAAATACAACACTGCCTGAGCTCTGTGAGTGCAGCATTCTTCCAAATGAAGCAGAGATTGTTTGAGGACCGGGACATCCGTAGGGAGACCAAGGGGCTTGATTATAAAGTGATTGTCCTCCCAACCCTGCTCTACGCCTGCGAAACATGGACTGTCTACAGACATCAACACTGACACTGAAATACAACACCGCCTTAGCTCTGCGAGTGCAGCATTTTTCCAAATGAAGCAGAGATTGTTTGAGGACCAGGACATCCATAGGGAGACCAAGGGGCTTGTTTATAAAGCTATTGTCATCCCAACCCTTCTATATTCCTGCGAAACATGGACTGTCTACAGGCATCAACACTGACACTGAAATACAACATTGCCTGAGCTCTGCGAGTGCAGCATTTTTCCAAATGAAGAAGAGAGTGTTTGAGGACCGGGACATCCGCAGGGAGACCAAGGGGCTTGTTTATAAAGCTATTGTCCTCCCAACCCTGCTATATGCCTGAGAAACGTGGACAGTCTACAGACGTCACATGCAACTCCTAGAACGATTCCATCAGCGCTGCCTCCGGAAAATCCTGCAAATCTCTTGGGAAGACAAGTGGACAAACGTCAGCGTGCTGGAAGAAGCAAAGACCACCAGCATTGAAGCAATGGTCCTCCGCCATCAACTCTGCTGGGCCGGCCACGTTGTCCGGATGCCCAACCACCGTCTCCCAAAGCAGCTGCTCTACTCTGAACTCAAGAACGGAAAACGGAAAGTTGGTGGACAGGAAAAGAGATTGAAAGATGGCCTCAAAGCCAACCTTAAAAACTCTGGCATAGACACTGAGAACTGGGAGGCCCTGGCCCTTGAGCGCTCCAGTTGGAGGTCGGCTGTGACCAGCAGTGCTGCAGAATTTGAAGAGGCATGAATGGAGGAAGGCGCGTCAAGCCAACCCCAACCGAGATTGCCTCCCACCTGGAAACCAATGACCTCACTGCGGGAGAAGATGCAGGTCAAGAATAGGGTTCCACAGCCACCTACGGATCCAACGCCAAGACACTACACTTGGAGGACCATCATCCTCAGACTAAGAGGGATCACCTAAGCAGTGAAGATCTATCTTCTCATTATCCTCCCATCTCTGACAAAACAGAGCCGCCCACAGAAAACATTTTCCGTGCAAAGAGAACCAACAGGCAAGGATCCGCTCCCACACAGTTCCCCTACAACTGGCACAGGCAACAGGCAGCATGGAATTGAACCAAACTTGGCAACAGAACTCCCATGACCAACAGCAAATACTGGGAGGGTTTGGTGGGCATTGACCTTGAGTTTTGGAGTTGTAGTTCACCTATACCCAGAGTGCACTGTGGACTCAAACAATGATGGATCTGGACCAAACTTGGCATGAATATCAATATGTGAATACTGGTGGAGGTTGGGGAAAAATGGGCCTTGACATTTGGAAGTTGTAGTTGCTGGGATTTATAGTTCACCTACAATCAAAGAGCATTCTGAACTCCACCAATGATGGAATTGAGCCAAACTTGGCACACAGAACTCCCACGACCAAGAGAAAATTCTGGGAGTGTTTGGTGGGCACTGACCTTGAGTTTTGGAGTTGTAGTTCACCTACATCCAGAAAGCACTGTGGACTCAAACAATGATGGATCTGGACCAAACTTGGCACAAATACTCAATATATGAACACTGGTGGAGTTTGGGGGAAAATAGGCCTTGACTTTTAGGAGTCATAGTTGCTGGGATTTATAGTTCACCTACAATCAAAGAGCATTCAGAACCCCATCAACGATGGAATTGGGCCAAATTTCCCACAGAGAAACTCCAACAATCAAGAGAAAATACAGTTTTCTGATGGTTTTTGGCGACCCATCTGACACCCCCTCACAACCCCCTCCCCAGGGGTCCTGACCCCCAGGTTGAGAAGCGCGGATACAGACAGTGCACTTTCCTTGTTGCCAGTCCTGTAATCCTCACGACTGCTGCAAGATCAGAACAGCCCCCAGCTCTATGACAGCAAAAGGTGGAGATTGAGAACGAGAGGCACCAGTTTGACTCGAAGAGATTTCAATCAGGGACTTCCTTGCTGGAAGCTCACTCTCTTAATCCACATTAGCCCTTCCTGACAACAAGCCAGGCCTCACTTTTGCCTCCATGCTCGCTTCATGTATACTTTCCTGTGCGGCTAACAAGGAGACACAGCAGGACTAGTGACAGCGAGATGGCACATTCATTGAAAAGCATGCGCCTCCATGGACCTCCCTGAATGCTACCAAGCGCCATGAATAACAACAAACCCAGAGCTCATGGAGAGATCAGGTATGATCTGCTACACCAAAAACAGAAGCGCCTTTTGGGACATGTGCGGGTGAAGAGTGGCCCACAGAAACATTCAAGGCCACCTGAAACAGGTGCAGAAGCGTATGGTAAAGCTCTATGGTGCAATAATAATAATAATAATAATAATAATAATAATAATAATAATAATCTTTCTTTATACCCCGCCACCACCTCCCCAATGGGGACTCGGAGCCAGGTTTTAAGGTCCTTTTTGAAGGTTTCTAGGGTAGGGGATTTCCTAATTTCTCCAGGTAGTGAGTTCCAGAGGAAAGAGCTCTCTCGCTTGTACCGAGTTAAATTCAAGGTGCAGGTCATGCCCTATAAAGCCCTAAACGGTTCGGGCCCTGCCTATCTCCACAATCACATCTCCTTCTATGAACCGGCGGGAGCTCTAAGATCTTCCGGGGAGGTCCTCCTCTCAGTCCCACTACCATCTCAAGCGCAGTTGGCGGGGATGAGAGAGAGGGCCTTCTCAGTGGTGGCCCCCCATCTCTGAAACGCCCTTCCAAGGGAAATAAGACAGGCCCCATCCCTCCCCGCCTATCTCTGCAATCGCATTTCCTTCTATGAACCGGCGTGAGCTCTAAGATCTTTTGGGGAGTCCCTCCTCTCGGTCCCACCTCTGTCTCAAGCGCGGTTGGTGGGGACGAGAGAGGGGGCCTTCTCGGTGGTGGCCCCCATCTCTGAAACGCCCTTCCACGGGAAATAAGACAGGCCCCATCCCTCCCCGCCTATCTCTGCAATCGCATTTCCTTCTATGAACCGGTGCGAGCTCTAAGATCTTCCGGGGAGGCCCTCCTCTCGGTCCCACCTCTATCTCAAGCGCGGTTGGCGGGGAGGAGAGAGGGGGCCTTCTCGGTGGTGGCCCCCCATCTCTGAAACGCCCTTCCAAGGGAAATAAGACAGGCCCCATCCCTCCCCTCCTTTCGTAAGAGCTTGAAGACCTGGTGGTTTCAACAAGCCTTTGAAAATGACCAGTTCTAACTCAGCCCTACACATTGTCGAATACGGCCTTATTTTTCCCACCAATTACCCAGATCACTTCCTCTAATTGGCCCTGGAATGAACAGCCACAGACCCGTACCTAATATCATTGTTGCCTGCCATAGCATTGCACTTAATTTTTGGGCCCCCTAGAATTTTTGGGTTTGTACAAATCTTGGCCTGGCCTTTTAAATTTTTTAATTGCCTTGAACAGGCAGGATTACTTTTAATATATGTGTGTTATGGCGACATTTTTTTTTGCATATTTTGTTTTGTTATTCTTATGGTTATGTTGTTTTTTGGTTGTATGTTCTGTGATTTTTACCTAGGAATCGCTCTGAGTCCCCTTGGAGAGATAGAGTATTATTATATATAATATAAAGTATTATTATTATTATTATTATTATTATTATTATTATTATTTGGGACTTTGCTTTTAGATCTTCGTTCCTGGGACTTTGTCATGATGCCATGGATTCTGGTTTGACCAATAATTGTGGATTATATTCATGCTATTTGCTTTTGGACCTTGGAGCGGTAGATAAATAAAGTATTATTATTATTATTATTATTATTATTATTATTATTATTATTTACCAGGCGAGCTTGTGAAATTGGCAGGGGCGAAAGAAGGGCCTCCCCAGAAGAACGGAGCGCCCGAGTTGGTTCATGGAGGGAGGTAAGGTCACAATAATAATAGTAATAATAATGGGTTGTTGTAGGTTTTTCGGGCTATATGGCCATGGTCTAGAGGCATTCTCTACTGACGTTTCACCTGCATCTATGGCAAGCATCCTCAGAGGTAGTGAGGTCTGTTGGAACTAGGAAAGTGGGTTTATATATCTGTGGAATGACCAGGGTGGGGCAAAGAACTCTTGTCTGCTGGAGCTAGGTGTGAATATTTCAACTGACCACCTTGATTAGCATATAACTAGCTGTGCCCTGCCACGCGTTGCTGTGGCCTATAGTAAGAATTTTCAAAGTAGAGGTAGATATCTGGACTATTTTGAAAGAGAGGTACCTACCTATGCCTTTGTCTCCTTTCTTCCCTCCCTGTTTCCTTCCTTCTTTCACTTTTTTATTTCCTTTTCTCCTTCCTTCTTTCTTTACTTCTTTCCTGCATTTCCCTCCATTTTTCTTTCCTTTCTACTTTCTCTTCTTCCTTCCTTTGGTACCTCTTGCTTTCCTCCCTTCCCTCCTTCCTTCTTTCCCACTCTCCTTCTCTCTTTCTTTCCTACCCCCTTTCCCTCCTTCATTCCTTCCCTTTTTTTTTTCCAGTGATGGTCACTCCTTGGATTGTGAGGAGTTTTATTGCCAAATTTGGGGTCATTTGGCCCCGTAGTTTTTTTGTTTTTAAGCCACTCATTATGCACAGAGCATTTATATATATATAGATGGCCTGACAGTGCCTAGATGCAGGCGAAATGTCAGGAGAGAATGCCTCTAGACCATGGCCATATAGCCCAAAAAAACCTACAACAACCCAGTGATTCCGGCCATGAAAACCTTCAACAATACAATAAATAATAATAACAACAACAATAATAATAATAATAATAACAATAAATCGTCATGTAAACATCTAATATGCAGGATATATTTACATTCACTGGACCAAATTTAGCACAAATACCTGATATGCCCAAATTTGAATAATGGTGGGCTTGGGGGGGGGGGGGGATTGATTTAGTCATTTGGGAGTTGTAGTTTCTGGGAATTATAGTTGACTTACAATCAAAGGGCATTCTGAACTCCACCAACGATTGAATTGAACCAAACTTGGTACACAGGACTCCCATGACCAACAGAAAATACTGGAAGGGTTTAGTGGGTATGAACCTTGAGTTTTGGAGTTGTAGTTCACCTACATCCAGAGAGCGCTATGGACTCAAACAATGATGGATCTGGATCAAACTTGGCATGAATACTCAATATTCCCAAATGTGATCACTGGTGGATTTCAGGAAAATAGACTTTGACATTTAGGAGTTGTGCTAGCTGGGATTTATAGTTTACCTACAATAAAAGAGCATTCTGAACCCCACCTATGATAATTTGGTCCAAACTTGCCACACAGAACACCTATGAGCAAAAGAAAATACCGTGTTTTCTGATGGTCTTTGGTGACCCCACTGACACCCCCCTCATGATCCCCCCAGGGGTCCCGACCCCCAGGTTGAGAAACGCTGTCCTAAAGGCTGCCAATGTGAGGGCTTGCTTGATATCCTTGGGGAGTGAGTTCCAGAGTCGGGGGGCCACGACAGAGAAGGTGGGAGCGAGAGCAGGGCCTCTCCAAATGATCAAAGAGATCACGTGGGTTCGTAAACACAAATGGGGTCACGCAAGCAGGTGGGTCCCAAATCGTTCAGGGCTTTGTAGGTCAGAACCTGCACCTTGAATTGGGACCAGAAAATGAATGGCAACCAGTGGAGCTCCTTAAACAGGGTGTCAACTGCAAATGTACGTGGTTAAAACAATTGGGGTGCCCAGCAAACTTCCGTCCTCAGGCAGCGTTAAAACTCAGTACCTCCGTTTCCATTCAGAGAGGCCCTGCTCTCGCTCCCAACCCCTTCGCAGGTGCAATTGGTGGGGACGAGGGAGAGGGCCTTCTCTGAGGTGGCTCCCCGACTCTGGAACTCACTCCCCAGGGATATCCGGCAAGGCCCCACTCAGCTGAGGATGCAGACAGTAAACAAACAAGGCAAGCCAATTGCAAGGCTTCGTGGGAGGCTCTCACCAGAAAGCTCTCCATCAACAATCCACACAAACTCACCTTAAGGATTTTCACCACCACTCGCTCGTTGTTGGTGATGTTGATAGCTTCAAAGACTTCGCTATATTTCCCCCGGCCAAGCTTCCGAACAAGCTGGTAGTCGTCTTGGTTCCTGCAGGCAGGGAAGAGGAAACAGCTCAGAAAGGGGACCAGCCTGGCGTCCACTTCCAAAGGGTTTTGAAACCAAAGAGTGAGGATCGGAGCATCTGCTAAGACACTTCAAGCAAGAGGAAATGCACCGATTCCCCTTCTGTGCATTCCCATTCTCTGTGGGCTGTGAAAGCTGGAGAAAGGAAACTTCACGGCCATCGGAGCAGTGGCATCAAAATGAAGTAGGAAAAGGACCTTGATACTTGCTATCTATCTACATCTGTGATTCCCAACCTTTTTTTGACCAGGGACCACTTTGACCAGGGATCACTTTGACCAGGGACCACTTGATGAGGAACCACTCTGACCAGGGTATACTCCGACCAGGGACCACTTCACCAGGGACCACTCTGACCAGGGACCATTTGAACAGGGACCACTCTGACCAGGGACCACTTCACCAGGGACCACTTTGACCAGGGACCACTTGACCAGGGTATACTCCGACCAGGGACCACTTCACCAGGGACCACTTTGACCAGGGACCACTCTGACCAGGGACTACTCCACCAGGGACCACTTGAACAGGGACCACTCTGACCAGGGACCACTCTGACCAGGGACCACTCTGACCAGGGACCACTCTGACCAGGGACCATTCTGACCAGGGACCACTTGAACAGGGACCACTCTAACCAGGGACCACTTGAACAAGGACCACTCTGACCAGGGACCACTCCACCAGGGACCACTTGAACAGGGACCACTCTGACCAGGGACCATTTCACCAGGGACCATTCTGACCAGGGGCCACTTTGACCAGGGACCACTTGACCAGGGTATACTCCGACCAGGGACCACTCCACCAGGGACCACTTGAACAGGGACCATTCTGACCAGGGACCATTCTGACCAGGGACCACTTTGACCAGGGACCACTTGAACAGAGACCACTTTGACCAGGGACCATTCTGACCAGGGACCACTTTGACCAGGGACCACTTTGACCAGGGAGCACTGGACGGAATCAAGTGTAGCAGCAAAACCACACATTCCCTCCACCGGCGACCTACTAAAGCCACAGTAATGCTTACAAGCAATACGCCATAAACAGCAATTAGTGGGAAAGGCCATGACCCAGCAGGGAGTGTCCAACTAAGACTAGACACACAGTAAAAGCTAATCAAGCTGGCTCTGTAGGTAGTACAGGTATTCAAACTATTCTCAGAAAACTGCTACCACTTCTGCCTATACAGTGTTCTTTCGCTAGTTCGCGGTTTGCTTTTTGCGGACTCGCCGTTTCGTGGTTTTTCAATAAACATCTCACCTGCCTCATAGGAAACCTGCTACAAAACAGGAGCTTTTTTGTTGAGTTCCAGGGCCAGAGAAGCAGATGGCGGAAACAGAAGAACGGCCTGCCTCAGGGGAGCGTGCTTGCCCCATCCATGTTCAACATCTACACAAATGACCAGCCACTTTCAGAAGGGACAGAGAGTTTCATCTATGCTGATGATCGTGCCATCACCGCTCAAGCAGGGAGCTTTGAGATGTTTCGATTGTTTCGATTTTTAATTACTCCTCACAGTAGTCCTGCATGGCTCAATATTGGATCGTAAGCTAATTTAAATACGAATTAATAACGAATTATGAAATTAATGAACGAAACCGCCCAAGCCTAATACACACACAAAGCACGTATACACAGACTGGGCTACAGCAATGTGTGGCAGGGGACGGCTAGTTTCCTCATAAATGTGTGCCCGTGGCCTAAATGTCCAGGTTCCAGAAGCTATACATTTTCAGTGGAAAGAGGCGAGCGGAGATTGAGGACGGCAAACCTATGTCTGAAGGTGTCTTTTACCTCACTCCCCTATCTGCCACCGATAATAAAATAAATCCACACTGCATCCAAGAGATATGCACTCACATCTTCCCCCATGTGCCACTGCTCACTTAAAGCCGTGCACTCCACTCAGGGATTGCATAAAGACACGTGCAATCCCGCCACAGGTGTGGTCAGTCGTTTGCGACATGCAATGTCAACTCTTTCACCTGTTGTTTATCAAGGAAATAAACCGACACATCTCTTAAACTTGGAGGGCCCAAGTTTAAGCAAACTTGGGCCCTCCAGGTGTTTTGGACTTCAACTCCCACAATTCCTAACAGCCGGTAGGCTGTTAGGAATTGTGGGAGTTGAAGTCCAAAACACCTGGAGGGCCCAAGTTTGCTTAAACTTGCTTTCAAGGAAGAGCTTGGTTGCTGCAAACCTCTCTCCCTGCAGGGATGCCACCACGGAGTTCCAATCCTGGCCTGGTTTTGGGTCATTTGTCTCAAAGATGGGGAAGAATGGATAGGAGAGAGCAGCAGACGGAAAACACATCCCGGGAAGCAGGGCAGAGGCTACTCAGTCGGCAGATACGGGCCCCAGATAAGGAGGCGATGGCGATGCCAAACAAGTATTTCCTGAACAAAAGACCTGCCTTTGGAGTGAAGTGACCCAGAGAGAGGAGCGCGGAGGGCAATTTGGGCTTGCACTTTCTTGTATTATGATTTATCATGATTCTTATATCTACAAGCCGTCACAGAGTTACAAACATCTGGCTTACAAGGGACTGCTTGTACAGACATGCACACACGTGTATACAACGCATTATAAATTACCTAACTCAGGCATCACCCGTTACCTCACCTTCTTAACTTCCCATCAGAGCAGTACCTATTGATCTACTCATATTTGCATGTTTTCGAACTGCTAGGTTGGCAGAAGCTGGGGCTGACAATAGGAGCTTACTCCACTCCCCAGATTCGATCCTGCAACCTTTCGGCCAACAAGCTCAGCAGCTCAGCGCCATCGGGGGCTCCCATTATTATAATGTAATGCAATATAATACTAATAATATGATATTATAATATGTTTATATTACATGTAATATTACTAATAATATGATGATATAATGGTATAGTACAATATAGTAATATTTAATACTGATATTGTACTTTGGTAATAATGTAATATATTGTGTTTATATATATCTTGTAAGCCGCTCTGAGTTGTCTTCGGGGTGAGAAGGGCGGCATATGAATGCCGTAAATAAATAAATAATAAATAGTATATAGATGTAATATATAGAAACAGACATACACACATATGTATATATTGCATTACGAAAGACCTAACCCGGGCATCACCGGATACCTAAGCTAGTATATAAAGATATATAGAGATATAGACAAATAAATATAGATACAGACTACACACACACACACACACACACATATATATTGCATTACGAAAAACGTAACCTGGGCATCGCAGGGTACCTAAGCTTGTACATAGAGACAGATATAGAGGTATCGATATATAGAAATATAGGTATACAGTCTACACAAATATATATATATACACATACACACACACACAGCATTACGAAAGATGTCACTTGGACATCGCCAGGTACCTAAGCTAGTATATAGATAGTTACAGAGATATAGAGGTATAGATAGATATAGATACAGACTACACAAATATGTATATATTGTGTTATGAAAGACATAACCTGGGCATCACCAGGTATCTAAGCTAGTGCCTAGAGCAGTGTTTCTCAACCTGGGGGTCGGGACCCCTGTGGGGGTCGCGAGGGGGTGTCAGAGGGGTCACCAAAGACCACCAGAAAACATAGTATTTTCTCTTTGTCATGGGTGTTCTGTGTGGGAAGTTTGGTCCAATTCTATCATTGGTGGGGTTCAGAATGCTATTTCATTGTGGGTGAACTATGAATCCCAACAACCACAACTCCCAAATAGCAAGGTCTATTTTCTCCAAACTCTACCAGTGTTCACATTTGGGCATATTGATTATCTCTGCCAAGTCTGATCGAGATCCATCACTGTTTGAGTCCACAGTGTTCTCTGGATGTAGGTGATCTACAACTCCAAAAACTCAAGGTCAGTGTCCACCAGACTCTCCCAGTATTTCTCTTGGCCATGTGTGCCAAGTTTGATTCAATTCCATCATTGGTGGAGTTCAAAAGGCTCTTTGATTTTAGGTGAATTACAAATTCCAGCAACTCCAAAATTCCCAAATGACAAAATCAATCCCCTCCAACCCCACCAGTATTCAAATTTGGGTGTATCGGGTATTTGTGCCAAATTTGGTCCAGTGAATGAAAATACATCCTGCATATCAGATATTTATATTACGATTCATAACAGTAGCAAAATTAAAGAAATAGCAACAAAAAGAACGTTATGGTTGGGGGTCACCACAACGAGAGGATCTTTACTAAGGGGTCGCGGCATTAGGAAGGCTGAGAACCACTGGCCTAGAGAAAGATATAGAGGTATCGATATATAGATAACGATATATATAGATACATATAGATACGAAAGACCTAACCCGGGCATCACCGGATACCTAAGCTAGTATATAAAGATATAAATATAGAGATATAGACAAATAAATATAGATACACACACACACATATATATATATTGCATTACGAAAGACGTAACCCGGATATTGCCGGGTACCTAAGCTAGTATATAGGTATATAGATGTATAGAAATATACAGCTAGCTAGATATATAGATGTAGCTATATAGACACAGATATAGGGATACAGACAAACACAAAAATGTATATATCATATTACGAAAGACGTAACGGGAGCATCACTGGGAACCTAAGCTAGTTGACAGGTATATATAGATATAGATATATAAATATCTATATAAATAAAGACATACACACATATATAAATGTATACATATTGCATTGCAAATTGTGTGAGTTGAAGTCCAAAACACCTGGAGGGAGGGCCGAGGTTGGCCCATGCCTGCTGTATAGATATATAGATATGTACTGATACATGTAGATATATACAGCTATCATGATATATAGGTACAGATAGGTAGAAATATAGATTCAGATACAGCTAATAGTGATAAATACAGATATAGCTATAGATAGATATATAGTTATATAAATACAGATACATACATATAAATAAAAATAGATATAGA